GTCTGGTAACGCCAACATGGGAGCCTTCTTCAACTTCTCTTTGAGGTGGACAAATGCCACCTCGCATTCCGCTGTCCATACCATCTTCCCTTTTCCTGTTTGGTCCGTTAAAAGTAGGGCTACTCTGAAATAGTGTTTGATAAACTTTCGATAGTAGTTGCATAGTCCCAAGAATGCCCTTAACTCATGTACATTTGATGGTCGCTCCCAATCCTGAATCGCTTGGACCTTTTCAGGGTTCACTTTGAGCCCGTCCTTGCCCGAGAAACTTTACCTCTTGTTGAGCAAAGTCACATTTGCTCTCTTTAGCATACAGTTGGTGTTCCCTTAGTTTCTCAAACACCTTCGTTAAGTGTTTAGCATGCTCCTCTAGCGTTTCGCTATAGATTAAGATGTCGTCAATATAGACAACCACAAAATAATCCAGATAAGGTACAAAGATGTGGTTCATCAATGCCAAAAATGTTGCCGGCGCATTGCATAGCCCAAAAGGCATCACCAAAAACTCAAATCTTCCTTACCTTGTTTGACAGGTTGTCTTCTCGACATCTTCCTCTGCTACCCTGATCTGGAAGTATCCTGACCTTAGGTCAATCCTCGAGAAGTATTTTGCCTTTCCCAACTTATCGAATAGGTCCTCAATCCTTGGCAAAGGGTACTTGTTCTTCTTTGTATACTTGTTGAGCAACCAGTAGTCTATGCGCATACGCATAGATCTATCTTTCTTTTTCACAAATAACATCGATGCCCCATATAGCGACTTGCTCAACCTAACATACCTTTTGTCCACCAACTCCTTTAGTTGGCGCTTGAGCTCCTCGAGTTCTTTTTTGTTCAAACGATGGGACGAACCACCACCTCAACACCCTCGACTAGCTCAATCTTATGTTCTATCGGTCGTGCAGGGGGCAACCCCGCCGGTAGCTCCTCCGGCATGGTATCCTGGAATTGGTTTAACACCCGCTGGATCATTAAAGGTATTTCTTCTGTTCCCGTCTTTTTGTCACTCTTCATTGAGAGTAAGCACAAAAATGCTACCTTGGTTCCTTTAATGATTTGTCCTCTCGTGAACACCAGGTTTAGGCAAGAATCTTTGACCTTGCATTGCTCTACCTTTAGATCCTGAGCCTCCACCCTGGATCTTCTTCCTTGGGCATTCGCTAATACCACAAGGTTCCTACTTTATCCATGTAGGGCTACCATGAATCGATTGAACCAATCCATCCCGAAGATCACGTTAAATCCCGCCATGTTCAACATGGTGAAATCCATGTCTACTTTCCATGTCCCTACTTCGACTCTTGCTTGTTGAAGTACCTCATCGGTGCTTTGGCTACCTTGAACAAACTCTATAGTCCTTGGTTCGCCCAACCGCTGCACTGTTAGTCCGGCTTGCCAGACTATGTCTGTAGCCACAAAATTATCCGAAGCACTCGTGTCAATAAGGATCTTAACAAAGCTACCTCCGAGCTTCCCTCAGAGGGATAGTAGATGTCGTGAACGACTCTCTACCAAAGTTGCTCGTGTAATGAGTAACTTTGAGCTAGGGACTGGATCACATACCTCAATTTGGATTTCACCCGACTTAATGGCCATATTGGCTCTGGCCTTCTTCGAGTAGAGACATTCCCTCAAAAAGTGTCCTGCTTCACCGCAGTTGTAGTATATGTTGTTTCCCACACTGCTAACTGACTGGACCTTTTTATCCATGGGTTTATCTCTTTTTGCTTAACTCCCCCACGTACTTGCTCGCTGACCACCGGATTTGCCTTTTTGGAACCCTGAGGACTCATTCTTAGAGAAACTCTTCTTGAATTTCCCTTTGCTATATGTTCCCCTTGGTTTGGCCCCTTTGCTAAACGTGGACCCCGACCCCATCGTGTTCCCCTTTCACAGGTTATTGATGAAATACACCTTGACGGTTGCATCCAACGCTTCCTTGTAGTTGGTTGGGTTCCAACGTATCACCTCACTGCGAGCCTAGGTTTGCAAGTCTGATATGAAGGCATGGAACGTATCCATATCCCCTATATCCGTAACAAGTATCCTCTTTGCCATAAACCAATTCACATACTCCTGAATGGTTCTGGTTTGCTTCAACCTACTCAGCTCATCTTTTAGATGCAAAGTAGGATTTGGAAGAACGTAAGTCACATGAATCCTCACCTTCATCATTTCCCAAGTGGCCACCGATCTTTTGTTGGCCTCTGTCGTTCTCCACCAAGACTTGGCATTATTTGTTAAGTATGGTTTTACACATGGGAACTTCTCCGAGCTCGGTAACCGAAACACTCGGAAATAGTCCTCCATATTGTAAAACCAATCCTCCACCACCTTATAGTCATTCACTCCCTTGAAAATTGGTGGGGGCTTTGGTTTGTACTTGGGAACTGCCTGAGGGACTGATTTCACTTCGGTCTGTTCGACCTTGTTTGGTTTTGCCTCAATCCCTGCCAAAGGGTCTACACCTTTTGTGCTACCAGCCTCCGCAGTCTTTTGCCTTTTCTTCTGCTTCTCATCACACTTTAGCTTGCATACGAGAGTCTCCAACAAGGCACTGGTTTGTGCCAATTGTCCTTCTAGAATGTTCAATCGAGCCTTGGACGACCGAACCTCACCACCAGACTTCTGTTTGGAAGTTTCCTCACTAGAGTTCTCCTCATGCAAGGATTCCTCATCCATAACCTCTTGTTCGACCGGAGGCTCCAGCTCTAGAGGAGGTTCTATCTCCGCCTTAGTTCGTTTCTACTCTGCCTTTGCCATCTCCCAGCAATCCGCTTCTATCCTTCGCTAGAACTGAGGAAAAGGTTTCGATACCAAATTGTAAGCCTCAAATTTTTCCTTTTCAATTTGCCAACTTACCTCATCTATCTGACCAACACTGCCTTGGTTTTTGCTAAGTTCCCTCACCAAGGTTCCCGTCTATTGTACCAACTCCTACTTGGTCCTACTTGGTTTCAATTACTCATTACACGAGCAACGGAGCATTAGCCATCCATCCACGGATTCCCAAATCTCTCCCAATCCCCCTCCCCGGGTTAAATTGGACTTTCAGCTACACTCCCCGCAAGCACAAGCAGCCAAGCACACAAGCCTCCAGGTTCCTAATATCCCTTACAACAAGATTTGATTATAGAACCCTCTAAATCCCAAGCCTTAGGTGCAACACTTGCTTCAGGACACCGGGGCGAAACACCGTGGCATAACAGACCAATATGGGTACCTCTACCCCCCCCCCTCCATCCCGAAGGGAAGGCCCAAGCCCCTAGGAAGGGCGAGGACCAATGAGCCACAAGGTACTCAAGTGGTTGGTTTTCCTTTCAGAAGTGGGAGTTGCTCTTGAACACTTGGGTGGCCCCTCCGGCACCACCCGAGTCCATGCTCACTCCTACCCAAGGCCCCTTGGCCCTAGTCTCAACCTCAAGTCAGTTTAGAAGCACCACTAGAGAGTTCCTTCAAGACTGGTTCCTGGACCTCACTATCCCTACTATATTTTTGGAACCCCTTGCAGCCCCCCTCCCTGGGAGACGCACGCTTTGGGCTTTCACCCCTTAACCTATATTAGTACTCGGACTCGGTCTCGGACTCGATTTTGGACTTGATCTCGGACCTAACTTTGAACTCGGTCTCGGACTCGATCTCGGACTTGATCTCGGACCTGATCTCAGACTCAACTTCGGACTCGACCTCGGACTCAGTCTCGGACCCGATCTCGAACTCTGTCTCGAACTCAGTCTCAAGCTCGGCCTCGAACTCGGTCTCCGAGTCAGCCTCAGACTTGATCCCGGACTCTATCTCGAACTTGGTCTCAGAGTCGGTCTTGGACTCGATCTCAGACTCGGTTCCATCCGATAAACTCTTTGTTATTTCGGTTATGCTTTTGGGGATCCTTTAGCCTATGACACCTCAGAGAGTTGGTTCCTTACAGAGGGCTATAGGAGCTGCGTGCGTACCAAGCTCTCCAAGGTGACACTCTCCAGTTGGTCGGCCCCACTTTAGATTGAGTATGGAGCAGCTCACTGAGGCTTCACATGAACTGTAATTTTTGCCCTAAAATAGAAATTACGATTCTAGTGATTTCATAGAGCAATTCTGGCACAATTGAACAATGGTGCTTGATTAGGCATAGTCCTATATTGCCAAGCTCACTCCTTATGCTTCTGGCAAAAGACTTGGGCATTGGAAATGTAATTATTATGGAAAAATGTATGATGGTTAACACATTTTGCTAAAATTCTTGGGCATGATATTGAAACATGTAGTGCTTCAAACATTCCTCTTCATATTCAGAATCAAATTTACTGAATGTTTGTGGAGTAAATCACAAATGTGCTTTTGTCTTTACTTTTTACAACAAATTTACAGAGAGTCAGCATTTTGATGGGGCATCTGCTTTTGGAGCTTGTATAGAAAATGTTAATCAATCTCAGCCTATAAATACTTCATAAGCTATGCAGGATCATTTATTGGTTGAAAGTGAATGTGAGATGGCAACATTGGGGAAATACTTGATGATGCAAGAAACATAAACTTAGATGATGTGATATCAAAGTTCATTGTCTTGAATGTCATGGCATTTAATGTTGTGAAAAACCTGTTTTTTTGTGCAATAATTGCAGCCACTTGTAATGCCAGACCTAATGCTGCATCGAGGATTTTTTATTACAAAGAGTTTTGTATTACTCAACTCACTCATCACTATACTTTAATAAAAAAAAAACTAACTCCTTTTCGTGATAGATAGGCTCAATTTGAATATACAATAGTGATGATTTGATATAAAGAACAAATCATTCATAAACTTTATAGTTACTTTTATTCATAACTCAATATTTTGGCAAAGTGTTAACTTAGGCTTTAGGAGTAACTTAGACCTGTCATTTTGGATATTAGTGTTGAAAATGTTATTCAAAGTCATTATTAATAATACTTCTAATTATATATCAATAAAGAACATATGAAAGAATAATTCCCCTTTATCTTACACAATTGATGCATACTTTTCCATCAACCAGGGGGTGACCTTTTGATCATGAGAATGAGAGGCTACATCTTGCCAATCTTTATGCTGCTTGCATGCTTCATTGGCAGCGGCAGCTGCTCAGCTCATCAGTACCAAATCATCAGTTGACAAAGTGGGATTTCCGTCCGTGTTGAGGCTCAGGAAAGCTGCAAGGAGGAGTGGTGTGAGCCAAATTATGCCTTCTTGCCCTGCTCCACTGGCCTCCACAAAAACTGGTTGAAAAGTTTACCCTTAATATCACGTCACAAACGCCACAACTGCCGTGGTATCATCTAGCTTTCCACCGCTCCAATTCATTCTCGCCTTTGCAGCCGCCCTGGCAAACGGGCTGTCCAAACGCTCGGCCTGAGCCCCAGCTACACGGTCTGCTGCAGCTGCCTGGTGATCTTGAGATTCGTCAACAGCGAGAGTTCACCTTCAAGTTGACTTGGTCGGACCCAAGAGAATTTTTAAGAACTTCGGTTATGTCGTCGTTGAAGAGATTGTCAAAAAGGCCATCAGTTCCCAAAGCAATGATGTCCCCCTTTCCTGTGAACGGAAAATTAGCGAAGTTACAAGAGTACCTCTGCAACCGTCGGATGGTCACCAAAAATTCCAACTTGAAACGGAAAGTTGACGTTCTTGGGCTTTGGTTAGCCAGGATGCAGATATACATCCACTGCAAGACACGCGGCTTGACACCGGAACGGTGACTTCTCCTTCACGTCCGCTGCTTGGCTCGAGCTTCGTGGTGGCGCCATCCAAAAGTGCGCTCCATGGCTGTCCATTTGGATCCGAGACAAAGATTGGCAACAAGATCGATCACACCCAATTCACTCACCGACAACGCGGGCGGGCCATGTCGACGGGATTTTTGCGGTGGTATCCTCCCAACGCGAGCTGCTACTAGATCGATTTGGCGATGGATCCAGGCGTGTGCTTGGTTCATCCCAGCAAGAGGCAGCCGGTCACTTGTGCCTCCGGGATCGCCTCCTCCGGCTCTCTCTCTCGGGCGATTCTTCCAGCAGCCACCGAATTCCTCTCTCGCAGTGGCAGCAGCAGCACCCGCCGCGGCGGAGCTCCAGCACCAACATTTGCTCGATTTGCCGCTCCCGATTCAAGAAATGGGGGGGAAGGAGGGTTTCCAGCGGATGGATTCTTCTCCACGCGGAACTGCAAGGCAAATGCCGCCGGGTCCTATCACAGTCCCCTGGTATCGGCATCCGCCACGCCCGTGGCTCATCACGTTTACAGGGATCATCGCGGCGCCAGGAATCCCCATCACCACAGCGGCGGCGGCGGCAAGCTCTCCTGGATCTCCTCCTTCTTTGGGCTGCGCAAGAGGAAGAAAATCCAGCCACAACGGCGCCGTGGAGACGAATTTGTTCCCTCCCGGGCCCGGAACGACGATTTCCACCACCGCGGCGTGCACGCCGATCGCGATCGCCTGTGGCGCAGCCGATCGGTCTCCTCGGGGTGATCAAGAAGAGCTTCACTCCTCTCGGGGTCCTCCACTCGACCATCCCGGCGCGCCCACTGGAATCGACCCCGCGACCTCCTCCCGAGGGCGTCGGCGCCGGGAATCGAACCCCTGGACATGGGGGAGGCTACCAACGCGGCGTATGACGTGGACAGCGGGGACGGGGGTGCCGCATTTAGGATTGATGGCTCTAATGTAATTCTTCTTTTTTTCGTTTTGTGAAGCTTCACACTGGAAGAGATTTGAGAAAAGTTTGAGAGTGACGATGGAAGAACAAAAACAAAGCTGTACAGATCGAGCCCCACTAGGAAACAAGGAGATTTTTTAGGAGTAGAAGACAGGATTACCCACCGGTGTGTTATATAAGATTTTCTTTCAATTCTGTAACTTTTCTCTTTCCTCTCTCTCAGATTCACTCAAGTGAAGATGAATTCAAAAGAGACGATAGAATGATTTGCTCTTTTGGGGTGTCTTAAAATCTCTCAAAGTTGGCGATGTTGGCACACCAACCAGTGTAATAAAATGTGTCAAAAATCTTGGGGGTGGATGGAACATGTGCAAGTGAGAGATTTGCGATTGCACGGGTTTTTTTTCTTTGGTTTCGAGGATTAGACTAGATTACTGAGCCTGGAATGTTTGCTTCGCTGTTTAAATCGCTGACAAGGACCAACTGCTGTCTGTCATGGTTTGTATGCTTATTTTGCAGTCTTTAATCCCAAGATAAAGACCATCACCACCACCTTGAATACAAAATAGAATCCTTTGTGTGGGATACAGTTAGTTCACGCAAACACTGAAGTGTTGGTAATGGATTCATGTGGATGATTCAAGTTGCTTGAGGAAACTGCCAAAGAAAGATCCATGAATTTGTATCCAGAGGGTGTCCGGAAGAGAAGCTCCTCGAGCAGTGGAAGAAAAAGAGGCGGCTAAAGTCATGGAGCACCAAACTAAAACGTACTCGAATCATGGGTCACCGTCACAGCAAAAAATCGTGTACAATCGCAAGCGCTAAGTCGGCGCCACAAGTGGAAAAACTCGATCAGAACAACGACTTTGCATATAACCGTAGGAGTTTGCTCTTGATTGTGAACATCGCCCCAGCAACATGAAATCTCCTTGCTCTCCTCTCCTCTTTGCAACTCTGGCGATCGTCTCTTGTGATGCTTTGGTTGTTCTTCAAGCAAGCCAGCAGAGTGATCTTGTCGACGCGCACAACGCAGCTCGGCCGGCTGTGAATGTCTCGGGGTTGGTTTGGGACGATACAGTGCCCGCGTTTGCATCAAGCTGGGCGGCAACTCTCCGGGATCAAAAGAACTGCGCGCTGATCCACTCGGGTGGGAGATATGGAGAGAATCTGTGGCAGTGGTGGGGAAGTCCCGGCTTGCCTGCTCCTCCCGCCACTGACGCTGTGGCTGCCTGGGTGAACGAGCAAGTCGACTACAACTATGCGTCAAACACTTGCGCGGCGGGGAAGGTCTGTGGACACTACACGCTCTGTTCGAGTCGGATGCGCTTATGTCCAGTGCAATGGTATGAATTCTTATCTTGTTAGTTGCAACTATGATCCGCCAGGAAATTATATAGGCCAGAAACCATATTGACATCTGATACATACTGATATCTGGAAGTTACCTTAAAAGATTAAGTAATAAACAGTAGTAACAATATTAACGGACAACTCAACTCAATTTGTCAAGGTCAATAAAGGTAATAGAGGCTTTCTTGGACTTTTTTTGCCTTCCATTGACTTTATGAGCTCTGCAGCTCCAAGCTCAAAGTGCTCCTCGCTCAGGAGGATTTATCGCATCTACGCGTAATTGGCGCAAGACTATTGAAACAGTGGCTACATTCTCAAGTTCAACTGTAAATTAGCAATGGTTGGTAGATAGATAGATTCATGGTATGATGATTAATCATCTATATCCAAGTTTCTAGTTCTTGGCAGGCTCGAGCGCGAAACCAATTCCGCGCATGTAGTCCGAGGTGAATCCATACAAGCCCACGATCTCGCTCGCGTCCGCCGTCTGGAAGCTCGTCTGGCTGCTCATCTCATGCCCGCCGTACGGGCCGTACGTGACGCTCGTGCCGGTGATGTTGTTGTACGTGACGAACGACAGCTCCGTCACCGTGACACCCTGGTTCTTCTCGCTGCTGTACGGCCCGTACTTGCCAGTGGCGCGCACGAACCTCTCCGACGGATAGGCGAGTTGGATCTGCGTCATGGAATGGAATGATTGAAATTAGAAACGCTCATTTTGGTTCTTTTGGGCGACTGACCTCTGTGAATTGCGTGGTTGTGCCGTGGTTAGGCATCCAGGTTGAAGAGCTGCCGGTGGTGTATTGTCCCTGGATGCCGTCGATCACCCAGCCGTAGTGTACGCGGATTCCGGTGAGCGTTTTGATCGCCGAGGAAGAACTCGTGTCGTTGAATCCCACACCCGCGTTGGTGCCGTAGAGCGGAGACCAGGAGCGCGCTTCCACCGCGACGACGACAAGCTACGAGAAAACAACAAAATTCATTACTGGGAATGGACCGAAGAAACATCAATGGAGTGGAGTAATGAGCTAATCTGTATACCAGGAGAACAACGAAGGATCTCAACAATGCAGCCATTGCACAGCTCTGAAACTTCTCTCCCTTGCTATAATCGACTGCTACCAAGAGGAGAAGAAACTCCTTGTGTAGACGGGAAATGTTGTGCAGCCTTTGCTTTGGCTTTGAGCATGCAGCCTTCTTGGACAGCAACATGCAAACAAGAGTCCCGTGAAAGAATATAGTATATAAACTGCACGAACTCTGTTGTAAAACAGCTTTCAGATGGAATGCCACAGTCATGCCAGCCTTAGTAGTATTAATGATATTAGGATCGGATTAATGTATTATCATGACAATATGTTTCCTATAATCAGTTGTTTAGGATTCTGAGTGTCTCAATGTTTCGCGTCCCAAGGTGGTTCTTGTAGAAGCTGTCCATGTACTCTCTGAACAAGCATGCTTTGAACATGGGAGGATTGTCACCTAGCAACTCCTCCAGTGGGGCAATATGTTTATCATCTGTAGGACCATAAAATGAAGCAATTGAAACTCGTGGCCTCTTAGTGTTCACTAGAACTCGATGCTCCGCACTCTTATATTTATTGTTGCTTAGTATCTGTAAGAGGGAAACTAAGAGCTCATAGAAAATGTCATCAAATTATTTCACCTGGAGCATGTCTGCTACATTAATGACTAATGCGCCTTCAACTGGCTTCACAGGAATCCATTGGCCATTGTAGTTAACCTCAAGGCCCTCAACTCCAAGTTCTTGTTGTAATACCGTTATGGTTCCTGGATCAGCATGGCAACCTATGCCAATTGCTTGATCAGGGTATGGACACTGTGGATAATATGTCATCTTCATGGTTTGCTTGGGAGGATCCAAGTGTTTCTCCAGGATCTGCCAACCTAGACCAAGGTTTTGAGCAATAATTCGCAATAGTTTTCTGGCAAGTTCGTCCACAGCCTTGGCGTAATTGCTTGTAATTTTCCTTTGTTATAATGAATATATAGTGTTAAAACAGAAGAAAAAAAGAAGAAGATCTGTTAAAGGAAAGTTTGTACCTGTAATTTGGAATATTTTCTGGTACATCATCCTCGTGAAGTGCTGGCTGACAGTGCTGGAACAAATAGTCGCTCCAAAACTTCTTCTTTGCACTTGCTATGGATCCTGTGGAGAATCTAAAGCTCTTGTAGATATCTGTTGAGTAGTAAACCATCCTTTCCTTGGCAGGCAAGTTAAAGAAGTAATGGACCATTTTGATGATGTCTTGCATAAGCTCGTTAGATATCCCATGGCCGATGACCTGACTAGAACAATTTGCAAAGCATTTCAGAAGAGATTATTTACCTGGAAAAAACCCCATTTCTGGCATGCTAGATGAATTGCTTCAGCTGCTGATTTTCTTTTCAAATCATCACTATCTATGCCACTTAAGTCAATAATTGGGAGGTTGTTTGGAGCTTTGATGGTTATGCCTTTGCATATGGATGTCAAATATTCATTTGGTACATGATCTATACCCAAATCCACCATTGCTCTCACACCAGCCATAATATTTTCCAAATAACCTGTTTCAGAAAACACAGAACATTGTTAAATTCACTACATTTTATTGGTAATCTCGCCATACATTTTGTAAGTATCCCAGATTAAAGGTAAGAATAGCGGTTAGTTATGTTAAAACTAAAGGTATAGATTTACAGTTTATTCAAACTAAAGGGCCTAAATGACGGATAAATAAAAAAAATTACAACCTTATCAAGTTGGCAAATAGCTTATATGAAGCAGAATGTTCTTTTTCTAGTCCGATTATTTCCCTAGCAACCGAAGCTCCATGTTGAGCATCATTGTTACTTCGGCTTGCTCCAAACAAGCACCTCCACTGAATCGAATCTGGTACATATGGCATGTTAGCTACAAGATCTTGCGCATTTTCCAAATGCCCGGCTCGCCCAAAGACATCGATCATGCAGCAATAGTGCTGCTTGCTCGGTTGAAACCCAAAATCAAGACTCATCGACACGAAGAGCGATTTTGCAGTGGAAACCTTCCCTCCCTGGCTGCAAGCAATGAGGATCGATACAAAACACACCTTGTCAATTGATCCCGCCATCTTCATCTCGTCAAAAACAACAAAAGCTTCCAAGTAGAGCCCGTTTTGAACAAGAGCGGCAAGCATAGCGCTCCAGCAGATGGTGTCCCGTTCGGGAAGCGACTCAAACAGCCTTTCGGAATGCCTGACGTGACCATTGTGAGCATACGCTGCGAGCATCGCAGTCCACGAAACCACGTCGCGTTCCAGCATGTTGTCGAACAAAACCTTGGACTCTCGCAGCTGCTTGTGCTGCGCATACGACGCAAGCATGGCTGTCGAAGACGTGGAGTTGTGCTGAGGCATCAGTCCAAAAGTTTGCTTGGCTTCGTCCAAGAGACCGTTCTGGGCATATGCCGAAAGCATGGTGCTCCAAGAAACGATGTCTTGCTCGGGCATTTCCTCAAAGATCTGGCTTGCTCTACTTATCCGGCCTTCAGCAGCGGTCGCCGCGAGGATTGCGTTCCAACACAGAAGATTGTGCCGAGGCATATCCTGTAACAATCGCGTCGCAAGATCAAGATGCCCGCATTGGGCATAAGCTGCAACCATGGCAGTCTGCGATACCGAATCCCTCTGCGGCATGTCGTCAAACAGTCGCTTGGCCTCAGCAAAATCGCCGTGCGCGACACATGCGTTGATCATGGTCGTCCAGGAAACCAGATCTCTTTGCGGCATCTTTAACCACAGACTCTTTGTTTTTCGCAAATGCCCCAATTGGGCATTGGCTACAAGCATCAAGGTCCAGCTGACAAGATTATGCTGCGGCATTTTTTCGAACAGTGTTTCAGCATGGTGGATATATCCGGTTTGACAAAAAAGATTCAAAACGGAATTCCACGACACCCCATCACGCTCAGGCATTCGATCAAAAATTGTTTTCACTGATTCTATATGCCCAAGTTGGGCAACTGCTGCAAGAAGCGAGTTCCAGGAGAAAAGATCCCACTGTGGCATGGCGGAAAACATCCTCCTGGCCTCCAGAGCATTGCCACCTTTCGCAAAAGCTGATAAGAGAGAGTTCCAGGTGACGAGATTCCTGTCCGGCATCAATCGAAAGAGAAGCTCCGCCGTGTGGATTTGCCCCAGCTTGGCATACGCCGCGAGGAGCGAATTCCACGACACAATGTCGCGCCAGGGCATGGAATCAAACAGGCGCTGCGCGTCGTCCACGAATCCGTTCTGGGCGAAGGCGACGAGCATGGCGTTGCGCGAGACGATGGTGTGCTCGGGCATTCCATCGAAGACGAGCTTGGCCTCCCGGACGAGCCCATTGCGCGAATAGGCGCAGAGCATCAACACCCACGAGTAGGCATTCTTGTCAGCTATGGCGTCGAAAATCTCCCTCGCCTCTCTCACGCTGCCACGCCGTCCGTACAGGTCGATCTTCTTGTTCTCCACCACGACAGCCGTGCGGCCTAAATGCCCGTCCATAATTAGGTAGCGGACAGGACAGTGGTACGGCTCGTGAAAGCTCGCGCCACGTGTTGGATTGCCACGCGGCGGGATTCTAGTTAGCCACGCATCGCGCCACGTGTTGGGCAGGGCACGCGGATATTCTCCGCCGCTGAGATTAGCGCCGTTGGATGGAGCAATCGACGGCGGACATGCAGCCGACAGTCAGAGCCTAATTTTGGTTGCGCCGCCGGGGCGTGGTGGCGCCGCTGAAACCGATGGGTGGGGCGGCGCCGCTGGAGTGAGCTGAGGTTTCACTGAGAGAGAGAATGCTCGCCGCGATGGTGTGAATCGCGCGAATGGGGCGCCTTCCAATCTTGCTCGGCGATCTTTGTCCTCGCTAGAATGACCCTGCCTCCATTTGTCTTCTTCCAGCGATCGATCATCAGGTAACGCTAAGTTTTTCTTGAGCTTTCTCGGATCTTCTTTCTCGGATCTTCTTTCTCGCTTGTTGATCGACCCCAGTCGCGATGGATGTGGAGGAGGCCCGCCGCGCGGTCTACACGCGCGTCCAATGCCTCGACTCGGCAAACGTGCTCAAGATCATGGGCTACTTGCTGCTGCAAGACATTAGCGAGAAAGAGATGCTTGAGCTGGCTCGCAGCTCCGATTCGGTGGTGGAGGCATTCGTCGCCAGAGCCAAGCAGGAGCTGGGATTGATCTCAAGCGGCGGTGGCAGCGCTGACGATCAGGCGCTCGCGATCGATTCGATCCCATGTCTCGGTGCCGAGGGATCGCAAGTTCTTGGTCTTGGAAGCCAGTCCCCGGTACAGGATTTGAGCGACATATGGGAGAGGCCGAGCTACCTCGAGAAGTTGACGCGCGCTGACCACGTCGCCGCGGTCAATGCCACGTCACCTTCGTCTCCCTCGTGGAAGCCATGCCTCTATTTCGCGAGAGGATACTGCAAGCACGGTAGCGCGTGCCGGTTCCTTCACGTATCATCCGGCGATGAATCGCTGGAGAAAATCAGCAACAGCAGCACTAGCAGTGGTGGCAGCAATGCCAGCAATCCTCCTCCCGCCAGTTCTTCCAGCGATCTCACAGGATCATCGATGGTGGATTCTCTGGCTGGATTGGAAGCCGAGCTGCGTGAGCTTCTCACCGGGAGGAGAACGCCCGTGTCGATCGCGTCGCTGCCCCAGCTCTACCACGAGAAGTTTGGGAAGTCCTTGCAGGCTGATGGATACTTGACCGAGAGCCAGAGGCATGGGAAAGCTGGGCACAGCCTCACCAAGCTCCTCATCAAGCTGCGAGCTACAGTAACTCTCCTCGACAGGTATATATACCAAGAGAACTCGTCGATCTCAATCATCAAAGCTTTCATCTCTTTGTGTTTGATATCTTTCCAGGCCTCATGGTCAGCACGCTGTTGTTCTTGCCGAGGACGCTCACAAGTTTATGGCATATGGACAAGACTCGAGCGCGATCGCTGCGAATCCCAGCTCCAGGCAAATCTATCTAACTTTTCCAGCGGAGAGTGGCTTCTCCGAGGAGGATGTTACTACACACTTCAGGTATGTGATTGAGAAGAAAATCGCATCATTGTTTTATTCATGATTCTTTTCTTTTCATTGCTCAGTTCTTTCGGGCCCGTACAAGACGTGAGGATTCCTTACCAGCAAAAGAGAATGTTTGGCTTCGTCACCTTTACGTACTCGGAGACCGTACGGACAATCCTGGCGGAGGGAAACCCGCACTACATATGTGGAGCCCGTGTTCTAGTGAAGCCGTACAAAGAGAAAGGCAGACATGGCAACGAGAAGTAAGCTTTTTTCTCTCGTTTTCTTTTCACGAAAGGTGGTGGGGTATAAAATGTGTCTGTCGGTCTTCTTTGCAGAAAAGCGGATCCAGACGCGAAGCCTTTGCAAAGCCGGAACTTCGATCGCAATCGACACCAGCAAAGCACCGGTATTTCAAAAATCTTGGTTTGATATCGCTCTCGGTGATTGATTTTCCGTGCAGCTTTGAAGTACCATCTGCAAGATCAAGCGATCTCGAGAGCGTTAGGCGAAGAAGAACTTGCAGCAGCTCTTCAGCGGAAGCTTGCTGAGTTTCACCTTGCAAATGTCCAGCAGCGAATTGCAGAGTCTTATCTGGCTACTGGAGCTTCTGCTACTTCACTCGTTCCGGAGGAAAATCTCAACACCTCGCAAATCAAAGCCGAGGAACAACAAGGTACGAAGAAGGAAGTGGCATAGGTTTGATGGTTTCATTCGTTGCTGGATCTGGATGTGTAGATTCCAGTCAGGTTCAGCTGAACCCTTACAGTTACGTTCTTGATGTTTTGGATTTAGATCCAAATGAGGAACAATCTCTCAAGTGCAACTTACAAAGTGATAAGAAGGTAAGTAAAAAGTTCGATGGTGTTTCTCTCTGGTGTCCTAACTTTTTAAAATCTAACAGATGCCCTCTGATACCCCTACGTTTTTTGCACATGATATATTTTGAGATTCAAGCAACCTCTAGGTCATTACGGAAACTATACAATGAAAAATGTTCTAAAGGCATACATTTTAGAAGGGCGAGAATATTGCAATACAGGAAAATATCAATTTTTGTGCGAGTTTTCATAGTTTAGACTTTAGGCTTTCTATTAACAAACTGTTCGGAAGATTAAAAATAACTGGAAGATTAAAAATAATAGTGACTAGTATTCTACCTTTAGTCAAACTAATCAGATCGAATCATTTAGTTAAGTTATGTAGATTTAAATAAAAACTTTAGAAATATGTCATCTCTAATCTTCATCATTTCAGTTTTGCTTACTGTTTTCACTCCCTCTATTCTGGTAATTACTAGAAGCTTCGTTTTAACAAAATATTTATTAGTGAGTGCAGGCATCTACATGTTCAGCAAGGCAAAATGTTACTTTTTATTTGCAAATAGTCAGATATCCAACAAATTCCTCTCAAGTTAAGGGTGGAGCTGTTCTTGGTGGTGGTTGCTGGTTATGCCTCTTCTTTTAGAGATAGGCTCACTGCTACCCCACAATTTAACTCTCCTGTGGTTATGGAAATCTTATAAAAACGGGGCTTACTTCCTGAATGATTTCTTCAGGCTTAATTACAGTTCAATTACAGGAACCTTCAGAATTGCTGGCCCAAGAGCTGCAACTGGATCAATGTTTACTTTTCCAATGATAAGTGGAACTGGCAGCTTTGCATCGAGCATAGGGATTTTAAGTGCCAGAGGTCTTGGAACTTATTACTTGGTGTTTTACACTCGTAACTCTTGTATAATCTAGCACTAAGCTTTTACTTTGATAATAAAAGTAGAAACTAAAGATTTCCAAAAGATTATTTAGTTTTAAAGCAGCCCTGCGACAATACACTCAAATTACACAAAACCAAGGTTAGCTACACTCTCTAGCTGCGGTCACTCGTCGCCGGGTAAGGACGGAAGCGAGTATCCGCGCCTCCTCTCTGGGACGACTGCCGGTTCGCAGCGCCACCATAGCCGGTGCTACCATTCCCACCACCGTACCCGCCACCTTCACCATTCTCACCACCGTTACCACCATTCAAGTCATAGCTACCATTGGCTCCGGCACCACCGCCACCACTGTAGCCACCATCGCCACCCCAGTTACCACCATCAGCATACCCCGCGCTTCCATACCCATCCGCGTATCCTCCACCATTGTAGCTACCACCCCCTGCCGCATAGCTCCCACTCCCTGGCCCTGTGCCTGTGCTTCCATACCCTCCAGGACTGCTACCATAGCCTCGACCACCGTAACCCGCCCCGCTAGAACCGTAGCCATTATCGTTACTGTAGTAGCCACCATAGCCGCCGCTGCCACCTTGAGCTTGCGTCGCCGAGCCCCACATCCCCGCCGCTCCATATCCGCCACCGCCACCGCCGTATCCCTGCGAGCTTCCATAGCCTCCGGCCGCTCCAGGCCAAGCGCTTCTACTCAAGTTGTTTCCATATCCTGGACTGCTTCCCCCGCCGTTTCCATAGCCTGCTGCTCCGCCATATCCAGCACCAGTAGCGTAGCCCCCTGGATATCCACCTGCGTAGCTCCCGTTCATCATATACCCCGCTCCTGCGTAGCCTGGATAGCCACCGGCGGGATAAGGATAAGCGCCTCTCGCAGGCACTGCTCCAAATCTTCCATCCGGACGGCCACCGTATATCTGCGGGCTCGGGTATCCCTGTCCGTAAGCTCTTCCCATCCCGGCCAGTGTGTTGATCGGCTTCACGCTCGGGGTGGACTGGTCCCTTGGAACTGCCCGCTTCACTTCAACCATCTTGTCTTTCAGCTCGTGGAACGACTTCATGAGCACCGCTTCGACCGAGTCCTCGGAGTCGAAAGTGATGAAGCCGAATCCCCTGGGCCGCTGCGTGGTGTGATCATACATGACCACTGCATCTGAAATAGTACCAAATTGCTCAAAATATCCTCGAAACTCCTCTTCTGTGACAGTTGACGCTAAGCCACCCACAAAAATCTTTTTTGTCCTACCCTGACCACCCCCTGGACTCTGGCCACCGCTACTGATGCTGCTCCTAGGAATAGTCTGCTGCTCATCTCTTGGCACAGCTTTCTTTGCTTCCACCTATGTAGAGTCGAAAAAAAAAGGGACAGACACAACTAGCACTAGTTATAACGACGACATTCACCCGACCCGACCAGGGACTAAAACCCAAAGTCCTAGAAAAATTTTGTTCTAGGAGAGAGCGAGTGAGCTTACCAGTCTGCCATTGATCGTGTGCTTCTCGGCGACTGCCATGTCCGCGGCCGATGGATCCGCAAAGGAAACGAAGCCGAATCCTCGAGCTCGCCCAGTGTTCCTGTCCTTCATGATCATCGTCTCCGCAATCTCCCCGTATCTCTGGAAGTAGTCTCTAAGCTGCTCCTCTGTCGTCTCCCACGAAATGCCTCCTATGAAAAGCTTCCCCTGGTCGGATTCCATCCCCTCACTACCAAAATTTCGCGAGCCTGCAAAAACCCCAGCGATGGTGGGAGATCTCGTCAGCCGGATTGGAATGGCGCGCTCGCCGGCGCCGGCGCCGGCGCCTCGATCGCTGGGACGAGGAGCCGAGACGAGCGAGTAGCGCGAGATCGGTGGAGTGGCGCTTACCTGGTGTGTCCTGTCGGGCGCTTCCTAGAATCCCTCCCTCCCTAAATTAACCCTAACTCTCAATTCCCAAGCCCTAGCTCCTCTTTTATTTCACTCTCTCTTCGCATTCTTCGCGCGAGGGTTTCGTCGCTCGATCGAGAGGAGGAGAGGGATCATGTATCGCTGCAACGCCTGCAACGCGGATTTGGATGAGGGGGAGCAGCGGGCGCACTATCGATCGGAGTGGCACCGGCACAATCTCAAGCGCAAGGTATGGATCGAAGTCGAGGGTTTTGAGAGTGATTCTTTTCTCTGGATTGCCGATAGGTTGCTGGGATTCCCGGCGTCTCCGAGAAGCTCTTCAATCTCCGGCTGGAGCTTCTGGCAGCTGAGAAGAACACCCAAGAAGCCCGGATGATTTACACTTGCGCTACTTGCAACAAGTCCTACTCCACCGTCAATGCGCACGAGCAGCACCTCAAATCCAAGCTCCATTTGAGTAGAGCCGGCGATGGTCGCGACGCTACTGCGGTTGTTCGTCCTGCTCGATCTCCGTCCATGGATGGAAGTAAGAAGAGCTTGGAGAAAGAGGAGGAAAGTGAGGACGAGTGGGAGGAAGTGGACGATGGCGACGTAGATATCCAGTCTTTCACGGATGAGGAAGACAATGGCACCGCCACCACTGCCGCCATCACCGACACGGATTGGAATCCAGCACAGTGCTTCATCTGCGACGCTGAGCCGGATCAAACTCTGGAAGGCTGCGTGGAACACATGCACAGGGTGCATGGATTTTTCATCCCGGATGCCGAGTACTTGAAAGACGCGACGGGATTGCTGAGCTATCTCGGTTCCAAGGTAGACCAACGTTCTCAAAACTTTGTTTTGATTGTTCTTTGTTCTTCATGTCAGGTCACCAAAGGATTTATGTGCCTCTACTGCGACGAAAGCGGGAAGCAATTCCAGAGCCTCGAGGCTGTGAGGAAACACATGATCGCAAAGAGCCACTGCAAGCTTCGTTACGGTGAGGGCGATGGCGGTGCCGAGGAAGAGCTCGAAGACTTTTACGACTATAGCAGAAGGTTTGTGGAAGATTTGTATTTCATGTGTTTCGGTTTTGAGCCTGGATGCATTTCTCCAGCTACGAGGAAGGTGGAGGAGAGCTCATGGCTGTTGATCAAGAGGACGAGTCTCCTATTTCGCTCTCTACTGGCGGCTACGAGCTCGTCCTCAAATCCTCGGAGGATGGCGTGGCCACCAAAACGATTGGCTCTCGAGAGTTTCATCGCTACTACAAGCAAAGGCCCAGGCCTGTGGAAGATCGCAGCACCGGTGGCAGTGCTAGCGCTGTTCGTGCTCTCGTCTCAAGGTACTCTTTAGGAAAAACACAATCTCTTCTCCATAGCTTCCATTATCGCAGGTATCGAAGCATGGGATTGGCAACTCGACAAAGCCAGCGATCGTTCGTCAGTCGCAAAGAGACGAGCCACCTTCCAGCAGTGAGACTGGAGGCCATGAGAACGAAGCTGGGGCTCAAGAACAACGTTATAAGAAATCTTCCAAAGAACTGTACACACTGAAAGCGCTATATAGTTATTGTTTCATGCGGATGTTTAAAGGAAATAGTTAAAGGAAACAATCCCTTTAAGAGAGTGAAAGAAAGGGTAAAGAAAAATTCCAATGTGGGTTTAGGGTTTATGCGGATAGGGGAGAAATGGAGGGCGTCAAGCAGGCGATGGCGACGGTCGTGAAGCGCGCCGTCGTGGTGGCCGATCTCGTCGCATTCACGGCCTTCCACTTCGCTTGCAGCGCCAAGGAATTCGCCGAGTCGGGATTTGGCGTGCCGAAGCTCGTCACGGATGTGGCCGGGTGGAGCGTTGCGGTGAGCTTTTTGTGCATTGCATTGCCTCGCATTTATCTATTTCGTGGCTCTCCCAGGGATGTGCAGTTGCTGGGAATGCCTGCCTTGTGCTGGATGTGATGAGGAAATTCTACGGAAAAAAGTAAGTTCGTTCTCGCGGAGCTCTAAACCGTTTGCATTTCTTCTTTTGCCTCCATAGAGAATGCAACACTTGTAATGGCTGGGAAGGGATTCGATGCACGTCATGTAGAGGCACCGGGAAAATCCAGTACCTTATCGTGAATCCAGGGTTGGAAGGGTACGTTTTCTCTCCCTTTTTTTGCTAGATAGCGAGGTTCCTTGTTTAATTCTTCTTTAACCATTAGAGGAGAAAGCTCGACAGCTGAAAGTGCTGCCAAATCAGTTGTGGATGGACGTGCGCAACTTAGAACTACCTCAGCTAGCGCGGACGTTGGCTACACTCTGCCTTCAAAAGACTGTACGACTTGTTCTGGAACAGTATGAGATCTCTCCTTTGTTCTATTTATCTTTTCCAACTCTGTTAACTTTGAAGTTTCGCCTGGTTGCAGGGAGTAATGAAGTGTACCGAGTGCAATGGAAATGCTTGGAGACCTGGCTTTCACGCCGATAAAGTAAGGCATACTTGATTTTGACAAACACTTAGTTTATTATGTACGCAGCTTATAAACTCCTCGACAAAAGCACTAAATGCTTACAAGAAATTGAACGTTCCGAATGAAGTAAGTAATGATGCTTGTTCTTGCCATGATATTCGCGCTGGATCTATGCAGGCTATCTTAGAAAGCTGCGAAGACCCCGCAACTGCGGAGTTCTTTCTTTTCACGCGTCCGGAACTAGAAGGGGGTTACCGAATGGATGAAGATATGAAGAAGGAAATGTGGTGGAACTATGAGGTCTGTTCTGCTTTTCTGAGTTGTTCAGTGCTAAGAGAAATGCTACTATTACATGCAGGAGTGGAGACGCAACAGATTAGCACAAAAGGCTGTTGGGAACCAAGAGCCTGGATGGGAATCGATGCAGCAGGTCTCTGCTTTCCTTTTATTCTTATTTTCTCTTTTTATGTTTCCTCGAGCTGATTCCTTGTGACTTTGCAGGTTTTAGTCACTACAGATCCTGTTGAAACGCTGGAAGATCCTGCTGTTGTGAAAAATGTTTCTTATTACAAGGCTCGAAGAGCAGTAGAAGCGGAAGTTGACAGCATGATAATGCCACAACGCCCTGCTGACTGGAAGGTGCCTCTCAAATACCCACTCAAAGAATCAGACTGGTCAGAAGACGACTTGAAAGATCCAAAGAAGAAAGAAGAACGGGACGTGCTTCTCAAAGCGCAGGCCGAGATCGTGAATGAGGTTTCTGATGAAGCTTGGGCAGCCGAATGGCGAGAACTCACGGTAAGTTATCCTTGAGATTATACTTCCCTTCAACTATGCTGTCTTGCAGATTCAAGACCTCACGAGACAAAAGATCGAAAACTACGTGAAGACGTTGTCCAAGCCGAAAGTAGAACCTCCAAAGCCGGCCGTTGCGAAGCCGGTTGAGAAAGCGAAGCCCGTGGAGGTAAGGAAAATTGCTTTTTCCTTTCGCCTTTCGAGTGGACTTCACGAATTTCTTTTGTGCAGCAAATGAGCAAGGAAGAAAAGAAGAAAAAAGAGAGGAGGGAAAGGGCCGAGAGAATTGCGAAGCAGGCTGCTGATAGAGAAGCTGCACTAAAAAAATCCAAGGCAAGGAAGTAGATAAGATTGCGGGAGCCAGAGCAACAGTAGCTCTAGGGTTTTAGCGCTTCAATTCAGTGATGGAGTGGAGAGCCATGGCGGCGGTGATGTTTCCGGTGTGCTCGAGAGTCATCCCGGACAGGAGGTGCCGTGCTTTTAAGCCGGCTTCCCATTTCCAAAGGTTCGTCTTTTTGTTTTGCTACGAAGTGACAAGAAATGCAAACTTTTTGTTACGTGCAGTGCCGTTTCCAAAAGGAGAGTGATGGTGAGATGCGCGAAAGAAGACCCAACTACTGGAATGCGCAAAGACTGGTTGCTAGACGACGAGCACGCACTAGAAGCGGAGCTGCAGCAAGCTATACAGTCCGAGGATTATGCCAAGGCCGCGATTGTACGTGACAGGCTGCGGGGCGTCCAACAGGATGGTGTTACCGGCGTGCTCGAAGCCAACGCTCGCTTCTACAGAGCTTTTGAGCAAGGGGACCTGGCAACAATGCGCAAGATGTGGAAGAAAGGCGACAACGTACACTGTGTTCATCCTGGCGCCGGACGAATCTCCGGCCACGAGCTTGTGATATCGAGCTGGGAAGTGATGCTGGGACCGGAGGTGGATTTCCCGCTGCGGATTCGTCTGGAACATGTGGAAGTCCGTGTGAGGGGAGACTTGGGATATGTTACGTGCTTGGAAGTGGTGCGGTCGGGGACGAGCTGGGGGAAACAGGTTGCAACGAACGTCTTTGAGAGGCAAGATGGTGTGTGGCAAATTTGCATGCACCATGCTTCTCCAGCCCCCGACAGCTAGATTTTCTTCGAAGAAAATCTACAAAAACTTCTTTTTCCGAGAAACTCGACGCAGCTCTAGAAGATGGGGAAGATCGAACTGGAATCCAGGCACGTAAGGTTGTCGCGTTCTTGAGAGCTGGTTGGGCAGCGGCTGCAGCAGCATCCAGGTCTTGCCGTTTCGTCATGAGCATGAGCATCCGGAACGCTGCGCTGTTCTGGAGCGAGCCAAAGCAGCTTGTTTGGTTGCAAACCAAAGTTGGCAGACACGGAGCAAAAGATCAGGCAGTCGAACTCATCGCCAGCATCTTCTGGAGCAGCTCCGGACTAGCGATCTGTCCTGCGGAGCTCAAGAACACAACTTTGCAGTCAGATGCAATATAGACGTTAGACGAGAAGAGGCAAGCATGAAAAATGAGAACTTTACCTTGGGGAATTTGATGGGCGTGCTGGATCCGAAAGTCTGGAGCTCCGCGAGCGAGAAGGTGGCGACGCGCGCTGTCCCGGTCATTGGGAGTGAGATCCACTGGAAGCATGGAGGCAAGTCCACTAGCTTTTTCCCGTTCACTCTCGTCTCGTCGCAAGATTAAGAAGCAAGCAATCTATGCAGTTCCAGCTCGGCATTTCATCCAAAGCAGTCCACGAGACTGAGGCATTAGCGAAAGGAGGTGATCGAGTTCTTCCAAATTGCCGTCGTGAGTTCCACACGGCCAGATCTTTGTCGGGCCACAATATTTGATTTTGCATCGTTCGATGGTAATATAAGATCATAGAAAGTTAAAAATCACGTTAATTCGCCTGTGCTTTGATTGTTTACTCGACCACATTGCATATGGGGAGCCTGTAAGTGCCGAAGGAGTTCTTACTTTGCCATGCCCAGGGAATAAAAAACGCGCGGTGGAGACGAGGTGAGCTCTCATTGTCCAGGAACAAGCGTTTAGGTACGACCTGTCAGAGACTCTTTCAATAAAACACTCTTTCAGGTTAACTGGCAAGCACGTACTGTTCATTTTGTTTGATTGTTTCCACGATGCTCTACGCCCGGTCTGTTCAAGACTAGCTCCACCACAAAGTCACAGGAAGTGTCGCTTTGGAGCTGAGACAGGGATTTCGGAAGAGTGAGAACCTTCGAAGGGAAGTAGTTACAAATTGCTCTGGAGAAGCCTGATTATGCCTGTTGAAGTAGTCCGGAGCTGCTTTCGCTCCACCCAGGCTGCTGTCGAATGGAAACGGCATAAGTCCTCTAAAGCCATCGCTGAGCAATTTCACTTCATAAAATAACGAACCCAGTTGCTGAGGAATTGGTTATCATGTAAGTGTAGAGCATTGAAACGCAGGAGTTGAGAGAAATGAAACTGCGAGGCTTGCGTGTGGAATTATCAGTTGGATTAGTCGGAAGGTGTGTGTAAATCTGCATCGGTGCCGAGTAACCTTGAAGTAGAGACGTATACAATGCATCAGGATGAAAGATAAGAGCAAAGGCCTAAGTTTCGTGGACAGGCCATTGCACAAAGCTCATTTTTCGTAGTACCAGATTTGGAATGCGACGCAAATCAGGGGATAGGTTGGATAAAGGAAGAAAAAAGTAGAGTAGAGAAATGTAGAAAGCACAGTTTTATACCTTGCTTCCTTGTGAGTTTGCAAGTGTTGGAACTAAGTTTATACAGGCATATGGGAGGGCTGGACCGACAGCACGCATGGCTAGTTGTTTGACAGTCAGAAGATCGTTATGACGCAGATACTGGGTGAAAACTGCTGGAGTTCTGCGAAAAGATGGAGATTGAAGATCTTCAACGGGACTACCAGCTTCTACACACACCGATCACGGGTCTGGGCAAGGAGTGATGCAGGACTAAACTCAACGTAGCATACCAGACTACGTGATCGGAGATGAGGCAACACTCCAAACGATAGCGGACTTCCAGCTCCAAATCGGATCATCACCCACTGGCACTCACCACATTGAGAAACGAGTTCCTCGTTGATATACAGGCTCCGAAGTATGCAAAGAGGAAGCCCCGCCAACTTCTAAACTTATCTTCCAGAAATAAGTATTTGTCAAGGGCAAATTTGCCACGTGGACGTTGCACCAGCCTCCAAGCACTGGGAGGTGGAGGTGGATTTCCCCATGTAGACGTCATATCACAAGCTATTTGTGCCTTGTAAGAGAACTATCTTCCAATGTTTCAATGACAAAAATCTACTAATCACAAGAATATAGAACATAAAAAGAGTAAATAAAAATAAAAGCGAAGCAGTTTTGTGCTAATGTCATCTCCACCACTGAAGAACTCACAAAAGGAAAACCAAAATAAGCTCTAGCACTTTTCTTTTAGTCCACAAAGTACCACTAAAACCAAAGAAGAGATTATGACAAACTTATTTGATGCCTTACCATTGCTAACAAATTAAACATAGTAAAATCAAGAAAATTTTCTTTTTTTTTTGAATTGCAGCAACTGATCTCTTCTCCGAGTGGTGGATGATGCCACCCACCACTAACCAATTCTTCAAGCCGCGGCAACAAAGACTTTTGATAACTGCTGCGAGATGGCCGTGGCCCTAAAAAACGTAGCATGCACCATTTAAGAATTTTATTTTTCTTATCTTCATCACCTTCTCAAGCTGATTTCGTGTGCCTTAAAAGATATTAGTCACTACAGATTTCGTTATCCTGCAAGGCACGAATAGCTTGTGCTATCGTGCTGGGCAGATGGATCTCCCGCTGCGAATTCGGCTGGTACCGTAGAAATCCAGGATCTGCATGCTTGGAAGTGGTCCGTCAGGAGAAACAGGTTGCCATGAACACCTTTGAGAAGCAAGATGGTGTTTGACAAATTCCATGCACCATGCTTCCGGCCCGCCACAGCTACCAAGTTTAGCGAAGAACATCTCGATGAAGCTCTGGAAGATGGGAAAGATCGAGCTCACTCGACAGTCGGCTTCGAATCTCCCCGGAAGATGTTTGCGAGCAGCACGTAAGGCCCAGCGTCCCTTGCTTCGTTCTTGAGAGCTAGTTGGGCAGCGCCCGCAGCAGCATCGAGGTCCCGGTGTTTCTTGCAAGCCGTCATGAAACAAGTCCAGTCGTGAGCATCCGGAAGGAACGGCATGGTGGAGATAAGTTCTTGCGCGGCTCCAAGGTGTCCGGAGCGAGCCAAGAGATCGATCATGCAGCCGTGGTGCAGCTTGTTTGGTTGCAAACCGAAGTCAGCGGACATGGAACAAAAGTACGAGCGGCCGAGCTCTGGATCGCCGGCGTGACTGCTTCCGTTTAAGATGCAAGTGAAGCAGTCAAGGTCAGGACTGCCACCTTCCAATCCAATTCTTCCAAATTGCTCGAACGCGTCTGCAAACTTTTGCTCTTTGTGCGAATACAGAGCCACAAGCGCCGTCCACGAAACCACGTCTTGCTCCGGCATTGCATCAAAGATCTTCCTTGAGTCCTCAAGATGTCCCTTGCGAACGTACGCACAAAGCATCGAGTTCCAAGACGCTGGCTCTCTCTCCGGCATCGCGTAGAGAATCTCCTTAGCGGTTTCCAAGTCCCCGTTTTGAGCGTAAGCGGAGAGCAACGCATTCCACGAAACGTTGTCCCTGTCTGGCATCTCGTCAAACAAGTTTCTGGCACTCTCCAGGTAACCACTTTGAGCGAAAGCTGATAGCATTGCGTTCCAGGCAATCCGGTCCTTGTCTCGGATCCCATCGAACAAGCTCTTGGCTTCTTCGAGGTGGCCGAAGCTCGCATAGGCAGTGAGCATGGACGTCTCCGAGACGACGTTGAGCTCCGGCATGGAATCAAACAGCGCCTTGGTTTTCTCGAGCTCGAAGGTGGCGCAGAAGATCGAGAGCATTATGTTCCAGGAGGTGAGATCCCTCGAGGGCATCGCATCAAACAGGTTCTTGGTACGAGAGACGTCCTCGTGCTGCGCATAGGCGCACAGGATGTTGTTCCACGAGTACAAGTTCTGGTAAGGCATTTTGTCGAAGATCTTCTTTGCTTCCGCGAGCTGACGAGCCCGGTTGTGTGCAGAGAGCATCAGATTGCAGGACAAAAGGTCTTGCTCCGGCATGGATTCAAGCAAGTTCCCGGCTTGGATCATCAGTCCCTCCTGGGCATAAGCCGAGAGCATCGAGTTCCAGGACGAGAGGTCCCGCTGTTTCATACCCTGGAAGAAAAGGATGGCTTTCTCGAGGTGCCCGTTCTCGCCATAGCTGTTCAGCATCGCGTTGTTGCAGACGAGGTCCCAGCTCGGCATTTCATGGAACAGAGCGTTGGCTTTCTCGACGTAGCCTCTTTGAGCGTAGGCGACGAGCAAAGCAGTCCACGAGACAGTGTTCCAAAGAGGCATTAGTGAAAAGAGGTGGTCGAGTTCTTCCAAATCGCCGTCGTGAGCATAGCCGGATAGCATCGCGTTCCACGCGACCAGATCTTTGTCGGGCATAGTGAAAAACAAGGATTTTGCATCTTCAAGATGCCCATTTTGGGCAAATGCTGCAAGAATCGCAGTTGTAGAAACTGTGTCTCGCTGCGGCATTGAATCAAAAAAATTTCTGACTTCCAAGAGATCGACATTGTTGATCATAGCAGCCAGGATTGCGTTGTAAGAAACCAAGTTTGGATTAGGGATGAAAGAGAACACTGTTTTAGCATCGTCAATATGCCCCTTTCGGGCATATGCTGTGAGGATGATGTTCCACGAGACTATACTCCGATCGGGCATAGAAGTAAAGAGTTCCTTGCATTCCTCCAATCGACCGGATCTAGAAAGCGCAGAGATGAGACAATTCCAGGACGCGATATCGCGCTCCGGCATCGCATCGAAGACGCTCCTAGCCTCGTCGAGATGCCCTTGCCGGGCATACACTCCCAGCATGAGATTCCAAGAGAATTGGTCCTTGGGCGCGATGGAGTCGAAGACACTCCTCGCCTCCGAGATGCCGCCGCATCGCCCATACATCTCCACGACAAGATTAAGAAAGAACACTGACGATTTGTAGAATTGGGGCGAGGCGACGATCTGAGCGTGGAGGATCCGGGCTTGGATGAGCGATCGGCACGATTTGAGAGCGTCGGCGCAGCGATCCAGGCGCGAGAAGCCGGCGGTGGCGAGCTCCTCTCCTGGGCATTTTGTAGGCATCTAGCGCATCTTGTGGGAATCTAGGGTACCCACGTTGATTATGCTTTATGAGCTGGACGTATGGCCCTCTGCCACGTGAAGGGGCAAGAGCACTTTTATTTCTGGCCAATGGTGGGTGACCACGTGGCGGGAAATCACTTTCCCGCCAGTTGGGACTTGCTGGACTGGCGTCCAACATAACATTCTCCTTTCGCGGCTATGGCCGCGTGAAACCCTAGTCTCGTTTCTTCTTCTTCCACTCTAGGCGAGCTCTTCCTCCAGGCGTGACGCGCGCTCGCTAGAGCCGGCTGCTTCTTCCGGGATTTCGATCTTCAATGTCGGTGAGTGGAAATCGATCGTTTGCTGCGCAGCGGCCGGGATTTCGAGCATCGCTCACGGCTCTCGTGTCGGATTTGGCAGAGAAGAACAAGGATTCCAAAGTTTGGGAGCTGGGACTCGAGCGATGGTAATGCGGCCTTCACGGAGGTGTTTGAGGTTGCGAGGGCGGCGAGGATGACGGATCCCAGCGAGGTGCTGGTCGCAAGAGTGCGAAATCCTCATCCACAGAAGATAAATCCTACAGTAAGTCACCACCACGCCAGGAAAGGGAGCAGCAGTGACGACGCTGGCAGCAGCGAAGGATTTGGAATTGGAAATGGGTATGGAGGAGGAGATGGAGGGGGAGCTCCTCCAAGACCTCACAGGCAAATCGATCCTCCTACACAGAGAATTCTCATTGACGACTCGCGCTACGTTCCATTCGGGAAAGATGACGGTGGCCCTCGACTGATTGGGCACTCACACTCGGAGCGCGAGAGTTCCTCCTCGCCGGCATTTAAATCGCCACTGCACCAGGGAAGAAATGGAAACCATCGCAGTGCATCGCCGGCGTGGGAGCGAAAGGAGGGATCCTCCACGCCAGGGAGATTGCGACCAAAGTCGAGTACCAACATGGAAGTCCCTGCTGTAAGTTTTAAAACTCTTTTCTTCTTTCTTCTAGCCTAGCATTTGGATTGATCGTTCTTTTGGTTCCCTTGGGCAGCCAGAGAAAGCAGCAGTGCTGCCAAAGTTTGGTGCTTGGGATGCAAACGACCCGGCGTCCGGTGATGGATTCACGATGATCTTCACCAACGCAAGGAATGAGAAAAAGGCTGGAGGATCCGTGCACGTCCCGCCGTTGGGTGTTGACGAAAAGGATTTGTACCCGGAGAGAAGAACTAGTGCATCGCAAAAGACATCCACGGTATGTATGGATTTACTATTCTCTTTCTATGGGCTTATATGATGTCTTCTTCTTCTCAGAAAAAGAGCTTTTGCTGCTTCCAACCGAGCACGGTGGAGGCCTAAGAAGTGTTTCTATGAGTGTACAGTTATTGTTTTCTCTTGTTCCTTGCTTTTCACAGCAGCTTATATAACTTTCAGTGGCATAGCATTCTTTGTATCAATTGAAGTCCTGTAATATCACAAATTTGTACTCTCAAACTATTTCTTGTCTACTAGCTATAGAGCTTCGAGCAGATCAAAGCTATCAGGATCTACGGAGAGGATTGGACCCATGCAAACTCTTGCACGTAACCCTCGGCTGGACACGAGTCCCGGCACGAATACACCGCTATGGTTCCCCAGTCAAGCGAGTCTCTCTCGTTCTCCACGCCGAAAAAGTAGAGCAGCTGCGGCATCACCTGAAACAAGTAGCCGATATCAAGCAGCAGCAAGAAAATTCACGTTTCTTTTCTGGAATCCCATACCTGAAACTCGAAGACACGAGGAGCTCCACAAAGTTGGCAGGAAGGGATGTCGGCGTCGCTAGCTTGGCCTTCGAGTTTCATCCACAGCGGCTGCGAGTCTCCCGCCCGGCTTGATCCAAGCCTCAAGACTTGGCTGGGAGCTCTTGTCATCCGGGCCTGGAATGCCGCCCAGAAGCTGTCTTCTCTCGACGCCTATCAAGCGAGCCTTGAAAACCAAGAAATGAGAACTCGCTGTTACCTCTTGGAAGCCGTCGAGATTGGTTGCTGGAACAATGTCAGGACCATCAGCATCAGCTGCTTCCTCGTCTTCCTCTTCCTCCTCGCTTCCTTCTTCTTCGCTAAACTCCAGCTCGAATTCGTGCCACAGGGTCTTTTGTTCTGCCCTCTTGTCCGACGATGAATCCTTGCACGAGTGCGAATGACCAGCTTGCCAGTGTTCCACCTACAAAAATGCTCGAAATGCTCAACACAAATAGCAGAAGGAGCTTCAAGAAAGAAACAGATACACTAACTTGATGCTTGCGGGAACAGTAGCTGATCTTCCTGCAACCCCCACACTGACTTCCACCTTTCCAAGTGTGGCACCAGTCGCAAAGTCGGACTGTAAAACACTCTGCCTGAACATCTGAGTTGCAAGCTTGAAACTGTACCTCCATTGGGATCGTTTCTCCGAGCAGCTACTTGAGCTCGAAAAACTTTGACGCTGCAAGCAGCTTAGCGGACAAAATGGGGGGAAGAAATGATACCTTCTGTGGGACGTTTCTTGGCTCTGTTGAGCTTGGTCCAGATTTAAACAAGCCATCTTTGGGCACATGAAAACCAGTAGAGTGAATCTGTTCTCATCGTCTCCTTCGGGAAGAGGCACACAGACCTGCACACTCTTTTTAGCTCAATCGCTCTGGACAGAATGCTTACTTGGAGCAAGAACTGCAGGGGTTCCTTGCAAAACCCGCAGCAAGCATCGGCCATAGGCGGCATGTTTTGTGGATCCAGCCACACCTGCATCTCTACCGCCATCAGCCAAAAAGAAGCTATAGCTGAGAACCAAACACGACATACCGGTGCTCCGCCAGCTTTGCTGGGAAAATCGCTCCATGATCTGCTAGGCTTCCGCGTAAACCCCAGCGCCACTCCACTTCTCTCCATAAAAACCCTCGGTGAAAGTGGGGTTGGCGGGGAAGATGAAAAGTTGCAGGTGATATGCCGCATATGTTCCCTGAAATGGGGAGCGCTTGCGAAGCAAATTGGTGATAAATTTACCAAGATCCTCCTGGCATCCTGGGTTCCAGCTTATGAAGATATATTAGGAAGCAAATTGGTGATAACTTTACCAAGATCCTCCTGGCATCCTAGGCTTCATGGGTTCCACCTTAGGACGATATATTTACTACTTGGGAAGTGCATATATTTTGATTTGGATAGACTCCCTCTCTGGTAGAGGGTGAGGGTGTTCAGGACAGGGAGGACTCAAAGGCAAGGCGTCTACATTTTGAAGATTCATGATCACGATTTTTTACCCAGTTGAAGGTTTGAGGACTAAGGAACATGCAGATCACTCAGATTGAGCATAAGAGGATAGGCGGGTGGGAATGAGTTATTGCAATAGCGATAATGTACTTGAGTCCGGCGTCTGTGCGAAAAGCGTTTTCGTCCCGAGAAAACCAGGTTCTTTATCTCTCTCAGCAGGAGTTGAGCAAATGAAGATCGGCAATTGCAATGGGCAGGTGGGCACTTGATTTGAACTGAAGTTGACCTGACTTCAAACACTCAACTGAGTCACCGGGTTGACTACGAGTGAGAAAATATCTCTGGCGATTTCCTTTCAGGGGCTGCTGCTAGCGTTCGGAGTCCGATTGGCCGAGACCAGATTTTTTCTCCCTGGAAGGAGATTCTTACATCATCAATTTCACGTAGCTTTGGGACAGCGAGCACGACAGCGAGCCATTTGGTTCCATTTTTGTTTTAAAACTTGATCACTTGATTTCCAGATCAGAGCATTTGCAAGCGTGCACAACATGCTGAGGATTAATTCTTATCTTCACAGCATGCATCGATTTGGTACTTCAGTTGTATTCCGGGTTGCTGGGATCAGGGATATCATCAATCCTCTTCGATCGAGGAAGCCATTTCCCATCTTCCAGCTTCATATCCTTGTTTGGCGGCAGTACCCATGACACTGGAACTCCAAACTCCTCCTTGAGGATGTCAGCTCGCTTGTTGAGCAAAGCACAGTCTCTTGCATCAAATGGAGAGGGTTCAAGTTCAAGCCTGGCCCTCTTGAATTTTGGGGCTCCTTCTTTCATGGTTGCAACCTCTTCCAGGTACGCCAAATCCTTGTAGAATGGAGCCAAGGCTTCCATGCCCTCCTCCCCGTATCTCTTGTTAAGGATCTCCATCGCCTCTTTGAACGCGGGGGTTTGGAGCGGTTTGGCCGAGAGCTTGAGCAGGGGCTCGAGGACAAAGGATTGTGCTGCAATGGTGTGTAGGTAGAGTTGGAGATTGTGGCAAACTCCAAAATATGTCTTGAGACGCCATCCGGTTCTGCCATTAAGCTTCCACCAAAAATGTTGTGTTCCTGATGAAAAACATCTGTAAATATATCATTCAAACACGTGTGCTAAGTACCTTGAGTAACCATGGTTGAACATATGGTGACTTTGTCCAGTCTGGCTTTTGCTCTTTCCCAACATGCTGATAGTATGTGATGGGGAGGTTTGGAATTACCCCAATCCAGTTTTCAACAGCATCGTATATTGGAACGTGTGGTACCAAATCGCCAACCCCACTGTATCGTGTAATCACCAAGGTGGACTGGCTCTCCACCAGGTGCTTGAATTCGGCATTGCCCACTTTGGGTGAAGCATAAGCAACGAGGTGGACCTTGACGTTGCTGCGGCCGCTAGCAAAGTTGATGCTCAGGTCAGCTGCAGCCAAGGTTGCGAGAGACGAGCCCAGGCTATGGCCGGCACACACAATCCTCACGTCTTTCTTGTTGTCGCCAGAAGAAACAAGCTCCTCTACCTCCTTGAAGATCTGGTTCCTCAGGCTCAGCTCCCCAAACGCATGAGCTTCATTGGTGGAGCTGTATATGCTATAGAATCCACAATGAACACGAGCTTTTTTGGACGGATCAATTCTATCACAAGTCACCATATTTGCTTTGAATAGATTTTGATGCCATTCGGCGTCGGATATAGTTCCCCGGATAGCAACAACGATCTCACGGCAGCCAAGATACTCGCTCTGCTGCGGCGTAGATACGGCAACGAAGCCAAACCATTCAGACGGTGCGTATCCATGAACTGTTGCATAGATGTAGCGGGTTATTGTGTAGCGCTCGTCCAGCTCCGGAAGACCAGTTTTTGCTAGGTGCTCGCTCTTGCCATAGCGCGGATACAAGTAGAACTTATCCCCCTTGTGATCAAAGATTGACTCGTTAATGCTACTGACGAAGTCTCCATAGCGGTCTTCAGACAAAGCCTCGTCATGGTTGGAGTGACGTTCAACAGACTTAGCCTTTGTCACAGGTGCGGATGCTGGTGAAGCAAGAAGCACAGAAGACATTGCTGTTTTAGTTACTCTCACTGAAGAAAGAAAGGTAATTGTGAGAATGGTAGAGCATGGATTTATATAGTGAGCGTGTGTGTGAAGGTGGAAGGTCTCTATTGCACACGTTTAAACGTATGGTGGGTGGCATTGTTTGTGTAGAGTTGATGGTATTGGTACCTGGAGAAGGAAAAAAACACCCAAAAGTAGGTGGCTTGTGGTACCAGGTGCTTGGACCTTGCAAAAGTAGATTGGTTGTAAGGACAATAGGTACGTCGGTGAAATAGAGAGCAAGGACAAAAGGAGTGGTGGTAGAAGACCTAGAGGAGGTTAGCGAACAAATGGCTCATGAGATCATTAAAACAGCTTATTATAATCTGTCCGTCTCATGCTTCTTGGTAATGAATGAATGAATGTAAGTTGTGGTCTGAGATGCTTGGATACTTCCTGAGCATTCAGTACTGTTAAATGTGATCGATCTTACACATCCGATAGATTCAAATATACTAGAGACGATCGTGAGCAATGTGTTTGCGAATCTCCAGTATATAAAAATTGTAATTCCACTTTCTTTCACAGCGTCGTACTTAACCTCCCTTGTTGATCGTGACCAATGCGTTTGCCAAATTGTCGCATCAAGCCAAGGAAGTAGAAAAGCCTTCTCGAGGTACCAAAACTTCAAACATTGCTCAAACAATCTTGAGGCGGAACTATGCCTTGAAAAACAAAGTGGCGGGGTCTGAAGCTCTTTTCCATCATCTTGGCTTGGAGCGACAAGGCAAATGCCTCTCTGATGGCTTATGTGATAATTCTGTGTGTCTGTGATTAGAGTAAAACATCGCCTTCCTCCATTAAAATGGGACCTTGTCTTGTTACCATGTTCCTCATTCTAGTTCCGATGTCAACTTTGCTTCTTCTTCCTCTGGATTTTGCCCTTCGACATTGCCTTGAGTTCATCTTTTGCAACGTCTGCGCTCAGTCTCTCCTGCCACAATAAAAATTTTGAGACCACAAAACTCAAACAGCGATGTAAAAGAACCTTGCGCTCGCCAACAGCCCTCGCTAGCTCCGCCGACATGTCTCCTTTCAACTGCTTTGATTTTTCCTTCCATTCTTGCTCTCTAATCGATGCAGTTAGAGAAAAGCAAGAAGATTAAAGTTGAAGCACTTGCCTTCGAAGTTTCAGGAGGCCTTGGAACTTTCGCTTTGCTTCTTGTATTGCGACCTCAGGATTATCGGTGCGGCAGATGTCATATGAAGCGATGGAACGGCCATATCTAGCCTGCAAACAAGTGTATAATCAGACACACAAATTTGAAAAGCATTACAAACCAGCTCGTCCGTGGTCATAAGATCAAGGCAATGCTCCTCCCAAGCAGCCACTAGATCATAGCAAACCTGTGGCTGTAATGGGAACTTTTGTACAAGCTTAGCATATTTCTCAAGAATTTTTCCGAGCTCCTCCATATCTGCAGAATGATTTTAGCTACCGAAACAAATCACAGTGCAAGGAACTGTACCGTCTTCGAACGCATCAAGAAAATTTGTCTTGGCCACCCGTCTGTTTTCCTTGCTAATTTCGGCGCCTTCAAGCACCAGCTCAAGACCTTCGTCAAGGGACACCAGCCTAGAGAAACAAACATAAGAAAATGCCATTGAGTTGAATTTGGTGACATACCTTCCTTCTTCCGACATGATCATAATATTTCTCGTACTTGGCAGCGCTTCTGCAACAAACTTATGACTTAGCATTTCCAAGTCGCAAAAAGAAAGATAAAAAATTTACCTGGCATTGCTAGCAACACGTCCTCAACTGGTACAACTGGTCCATCCGTGATAGCATGGTTTTTCCCGTTTCCGATGCTTGAGTGACCATTGCCATTTGCCATGGTTGAATGACCATTACCGCTTAGCATAGTCGAATGACCGTTGCCATTGTGAGCACCATGGCCATTAACTCCGTTTCCCGACTTGACATTACAGTGCTCCTCGTTATTTGTTCTCGTTTTGTTCACAGCTGCTAGTGGAATAGAAGGCTTTTGTGGTGGCAGTGACATCGGCGGTGGCGGTGGCGGTGGCGGTGGTGGTGGCGGCGGCGGAGGAGGAACTGCTACCTGGATGATCGACTTCGACAATGCACTTGCAGTTGTCACCGGTTGTGAAACCAAGACTTTCTCCACCTTTGGAGACGGTGACGACGGCGGCAAAGCAGAAGGTACTAAAAACTTGGAGAATGAAACTGATGGCGACAGAGCAGAAGGTGACGAACTTTGAGGCGAACTTGGAAGAGATGCCGGTTGTGCAGCCGACGATGCGTCCGGCTTTTGTTCCTTGGCCACATAAATGACGTTCTTGTCACCAACAGACGGGGCCGATCCATTCTGCCAGCTTTTCTGCCTGTAGAGATCCACAGGCTTCAGTGATATCGACGTTACTTTCGACGGCCCCATTGACTCCAGCAGCGTGTTCGCGAAGAAATCGTTGCCAGCTACTTGAAGCATCTCCTTGAAAGAGTTTGCACTGATCTCGGCTCGTTCCTGCGACTGCTTCCGGAAAGTCACCTCAAAGTCGACAGTGACACTGCCTAACCGCTTTCTGACTATCCGAACGGCACTCAGCTCGACGCAAGCCGTGGACGCGATGCTTCGAATGAAGACGATCTCGGCCTCGTTGTTGAAGTCCGACATTCTGGCTCTGGTAAAGCATAAGCTTCCCTCAATCACAGCAACGGCCCCAGCTTCCTCAAAACTCTGATCTGTGCCTTCCGGAGTGTCTGACGTCCACCAAGGTGAAGGCTGACGATGCTGTAAGAAATAGTCGAGTGAAGCCATCTCAACTATGTTGTCTTGGATCCTGTTCACGTGTAGCTTCCAAGCACCATAGCCTTTCACTTTAGAAGGTATAAGCTTGTCAAGCCTGGAGCGAACTTCGCCGCCCTTCCGTTTGTCCGCACACATCATGGCCAAGCACTCCGCAGCCTTCTTCTTGACTGGTTCCGAGCCTTGGAAGTCCAAGAGCAAGTCTTCAATCTTAGAGATCACTCCCATTCTCATGACTATCTCCACGGTGATGCTGCTCAAGCGCATCAACCTCAATAGCAAACTCAGGCTGCACAGCCGGGGATCTGTTCCAGTATCACCGGCGTACGGAGGAGGAACTTTTAGCGAGAGAAACGAAGCCAACGTATATAAAAGCTCCTCGGAGATGATGCAGTCTGCAATATCCGGATGAGTTGCCGTGCAATGAAGCAAAAGCATTGCTGGCTGCGCAAGAGCTCTTCGCTCGTCCCCCAAATCGTTGCTCATTAGCTCGTATAGCGGAAGAAATATGTCGATGTTTGATCGGCTGGATAGAAGGTGAGGGTGAAGTCTCACAAGAATAAGTAATGCAAGAAGAACGCGCCGGCGATCATCGAAAGTAAACGCTTCCGCATAGAGACCATCTGTTGACGAGCCAACCACCAAAGCCTTCCGGAGTTCGTGTAAAAGCCGCTCTTGTGAGAGGGGATCTAAGGAGTGCTTGTAGCCGCGAAGGAACTGATCGACGTAATAGCCGCCAAGATACAGTTCCTGGGCATAACCTTCAGCAAAGTCATGCCTGAATAGTGGCCTCTCGTCGCCTTCAATATTTACCGCCAATATCCAGCGCAAGAACACTGGCCGCTTCGCATCAACAGACCAGGCTGAAAGTCCGCCAGCATTCGTATAGACAGTACGTACTCGAGCTGCTTCTTTCATTATAATCGTCTTCACCTGGTGCCGTCTTGATTCATCCCAGACGAGCTTTACGCTCAAGACGCAACCATCGTAAATCTTGCATGCTTCAGTTGGCTCTCGAGCAAGAGCAGAGAGGATCTCGAGTGGAAGTAGGAGCAGAAGTGATCTGATGGGTACCGGGTCGTCCTCAGAACAGTTCTCCACTATGCTAAAAAGTTCGTACATGTCCGTCGCTTGACCGATCCCTTCACCTGAACTGGTCTTCTGCTGTTCCAAATCTTTAATCAGCTTTCCTCTCCTGGTCACACCTTTCCCGGCCAAGAGAAGCTGTCCCAAGATTTTGGCAGCCATCAACCTGTGTCCAAAGCTTCTTATGTTCTTTGCTGATGCTCCCGAGCCGCGCAAGCAAGGAAGATTGACATCGCAGAACATGGCCATAAGTGGTAAAAATGTTCCATGCGACGAGAAATAGTTTGTGGCTGCAGTTGTTGCTGGTAGCTGCTCGCTGAGGACGTATAAAGCTTCCAATGTAGACCGAAGAACATCGTCCATTCCTTCCTTAGAAACGTCTGCGCTTGCTTCCCATAGCTGTAAGCTCAAGGCCCCCAGGAGCTGTGATTGAAAGACTAGTTCCAGCAATCCACCGGCTACTAAAACCTTGCAGACAGAAGATATTCCAACTTGCACTCGATAGTCAAGGACGCCTTGAAAAATAAGTGACGATAAACCAGAATAGTCACACTGTGTCAGCATCTCTGTCATGTTTTTCTTCAAAGCATACCGTATGCATTCTTTGAAAGCCGATAGAACAGATAAATACTCTGTCACGCTGATCTTGTCTGTATCTCTGTTGACACCGTCCAAGGCAACACTACGATGCCGCAGCATGAAGTCTAGCAGCGCATTTAGTAATGAGCTCCGCAGCTGAAACTTGATACTGTCGGTATTGCAGCTGATTAACCCCTTGATATAAAATCCATCGATGACCAGCTCGCCGCGAAGACAATTGTAGCTGAACTGTCTTAACCATTCAAGCTCATCGTCTTCAGCGTTCCTGTTGTGTAAGCGATCATATAAACGTTCCCGGAGTTCTCCACGAACTCTATCGTCCCACAGTGCAGTTGGCAGAGCGAAATGAGATGCTCGTACTTCCGCAAGTCTTTCGATTCCCTCTTGTGCAGTAAGAGACACTAGCAAAGGCTCCGGAATAACACGTCTTAAGAGTGATGAGCTGAACTCGTTGCCATCCAAACACCTCATGATATCTACTGCTAATAAAGTCATAGCAGAATTACCACCTTCATTTACTGAGAAAAATGTCAAGAGTATCAAAGGGAGGTGTAAACCCTGGCAAAACAACAGCTAAGAAGCCGAGGAAATGATGAAAGTGTCGAACTTACCTTTTTAAAGAACTCGGGAAGTTCCTCTTGTTCAACAAAATGCCTGAGACAGCTCAAGGCAGCAGACGAAATACGATTTAATTCAGCTGGTACGACGGATGATCTAGGATCACCGATAGCTGTACAAAGTGCCCACCAGAGTCCTCTGTTCCAGCGTGAATCATCTCGCAGGAGATCCCTTCCAGCTCTAAATAAACAACAATTATAGAAGTAAGAAAACTGGAAAATGTGAATTATACCTTGAGCCACATGTTACTTCCAGCATTGACAAAGCCCCAGTGATAACATTGTTCAACGTATCAGCCCTGTAATCGACACTAGATCCATCGGCTCCCAAGGAAATAATGTTCAGTGCAAAATCCACAGCTCCTGTTAATGGCCCTGTATCCCTGACCACGAAAAAAACTAGTAAATATGCAACACCATGGTCATCAGTACCTGACAGTTATGGCACACATTTCTCTGAGAATCTTTGTAGCTTGAAGCATAATTTCGGGTATCAGCAAGTCAACACCCTCCAATTCAGCAAGATAACGAACAGCTGGTGTTGCCAAGGTTAAAGCAACTGCTTCGATGTCACTTGGAGGCACCAGCTTTGGAAAACGTTCTAGTAAATACGCCTGACAGAACCGTGCGTAACATTAGCAGCTGAAAGCGCACTCGAAAGTGAATGATCTCTACCAGTGAGCTTAGAAGTTGGTGTGACTTGGAAAGCCCTTTCATCCAGAAAGAGCTTGCCATACCATTGGACGTTGATTTCAGAAAGTCGCCGGAAAGTTGTCTCAGATGCTGTTCAAAGAAGATTTCGTTAGAAGTACAAATTTGGAAGGTTTCCTCGCTTACTTTCATCAAATTGTTCAGAAATTTCACCGGATCATTTATTGGATAACTCGAAAATCTTTCGGTATCTAGGAAGTTATGAAGGTAAAATGGTTCAGTATAAACTGCATCTGCAATATATAACAGCAAATTAATAAAAATGAAAGAAAGGATAAGAAGCGCGAAACCATTACCAGCGAGCTCTTCATAAACTACAGTCACAGGGACACGAATATAAAGTGCCATAGCATCCGCCGCTCGATTTCTTACGTATGGCTCTAAATGACATGTCAACTGACTTAGAAGTGCCTCCGCCATAGTCACATTCCACACGACTTCAGGATTATTTTGCTCAGAGTTGAGTAGCATGAAAAAACCTTCTGCATCCTGAACAAGATTAAGTTCAATATAGATTTTAAGTTCGCAGATACCTCCGATATCAACTTCATGATCAATCCATCAGGTAAATAAAAACGAAGACTACTGTTTTCACATGGAGAACAGTCGGTGTTGAGGTAAACATCGGACACCTATAAGCAGGCCGTGTTTGTGAGCAAGACTTAAAGGTTGACATTTCACCTGCGGAAGATGTGTCTGGCGTAAGAAACTGATGATCATTTTCTTATCCGCGTCCACAATATCACCGGCTAGAAGCTTCCAAAGAATTATTTCGTACGTTCCGAGCTCTTCGATAGACGTCATACAAGACTTGCTTGTTTTTGTCAAGTGAGACAAAATGTTCAAGATCCTAGATAAACAACCCTTGTCAAACGCAAACCAATTAAAGGCATGCTGACCTTCCAAAGGCGGGCGTCTTTGCGCGAAGAAGGCTTTGAACCAGATGGCACATAACATCCTCTCGTGAGAGCGCAATGCATGCAGCAGACGGTGGAAAAATGTCACTGTTGTCGCTTCCGCATAGCCTGTATAGAAATACAAAAAGTGTGAGCGAACGATAAACTAAAGTGGATTACCTGAGGATCGCTTCCAGCACATCCAAGACCATACCAAATTGTATCTTACTTGGTACTATCGAGTCTTGCCATTTGATTGCCTCTTTCGCATCTAAGCTTCCATTTAGCAAAGCTTTACCAAGAACCTCTCGAACTTTTCCCGAAGGGACTCGCACTAATTTAAGTTCACCGTTCATACCAACAACTTCAACGGTTTCAAGGATGCTAGATTTCTGTGAAGACCAGCCATCTGATTCGAACTCAGTCTTACTTTTGCAACACTGTTATGAAGTACCAAGTTAGCCTTGAAAAGAATAACAACATTTTTACCTCAGTAAGTGATAGTACTAGTAATGACACTAAAACCGTTGCTCCACCAGCTCGAAGGATACGAAGAACATTTTGACGGCCTCCAATTTCCATCAAGGTCAATTGGAAAACCATTAGTTTGAAAATAAATACTTGATGCTCTGTTTCCATAACTTCTTGAAGCATTCCAACAGATGCCTAAAAGACAGTGTCAAGTCTTTCAAACTGGGAGAATAATTGTTCTCTTACCTCGATAACGTTAGATGTTTGCAAGCAGAAGGTTACTTCTAGTGCATATCGCGCGTAGAGTTTAGTCAGGACATGCACAGCTAAGCGGAGATCAACTTCAGGAGTATTATTGTGGCCGAAAAAGGGTGTAAAACCCAGAATCAGAGATTGGAATACTGCTTGAAATAAAGCCAAGGGACTTTGAACCTGCGGTGAAAATGAAGCTTGCTCGATAGAAGCAAAGAAAAATGTACCTTCCAAAATGGTGCATAAGTACCGTCAGCAGGAGGAGAGTGATCAACTAGAAGTTCAAGATGGATGCCTTCTACGACCGTGCCTGCCATGCGAACTATATTTGTTAGAATAAAATGAGGACCGCTATTACCTTGTCCTTCACTTTCAGCCGAATAAGTAAAGCTTATATCAGAATGGTTATACGAAACTACGTGATTTGTGGCTGCAGCAGCATTGAATCCTTGCATTTCTTTCTCAAGAAACTACATTCCATGTGAGATCCATTAACCCTTTAGAAATTTTAAGGAAAAACAATTTTACCTTCATAAGCTCTGTTCTTTTCATGTCATTCCAAATAAACAACGGGGTTTCAATAGTATCTCGCCTCAAAACGTCCAAAAGTTTGACCCAAGCACAGAAGTGGCTTGCAGATTTATCCTGTAGTTTAGTCAATGGAATGTTCCGTTGACATGCAGAAAATGCTAGACAAACCTTTCCAGTTTCTAACAACTTAGAGGCCGTGAGGTCATAAAACTGAAAAGCACCCTGAGTCAAACGATATCGTTAGGACTGAATTATGAGAAAGAACAAAGGGAAATAAACCTTAGGCAGCAAAGATCGTAAAAGATGGTTTGTTCCTTCACTGCCTTCCATTGTATGGAAAAGGAGTCTTACACTTCGTGATTGAGTCAAGTCTGTTCTTGAGAAAAATGCATCGTAAAGGTGCACGATGACTAGACATCGTTTGAGAAACAAACTCTGCGCAGAAATGTCAATCTGAAAGCTCAAGGAAAAAATGTAATTGTCGCGTTGGTACCCGAAAATGACTTGAAACAACGCTCGAAGTTTTCGCTAAAAGAGCCTCAAGCAATGTTGCCGTACTATAAGAAAAGTAAATAAAATACAGATTAAAGAAAAAAGGGGGGGAATTTACCTTTCGCGGAGAACTGATTTTTTCGATCTGGACAATACGCACAGTACATCCCCTACCACCATAATAGAGGATTCAAATGCCTGAGTATGTAAAGATATGCGCTCAGGTTTAGTTAGGAGTTCATGCTTCATACCTTCATCCATGCTCGTAAGGTATCAGTCTCGAGCACTAGATTATCCAGGCCAGCAGATAAGAGTTTCACTGTAGCATAAGCCTGCATTTTTTATGTGATCATGTTAATTTCATTTTTTAGCAAAAATTAGAATCACCTGAAGTAGATGTCCCCTTTTCAAACAGTACGTATGCAGACAAGTAGCAAACTGCTGCATATTTTCCAAACTCAGTACAATGAGCTTGTTGAATTGTTCTTGCTAGAGATAAGAGCAGTTAGGTAACCGTGATTTAGCACATTTATCAGTACCTTCAATGCAGATGGATCAGCGTAAACATCTCCAGAATATTTGAAAGCGAATTTCAAAGCTACAAACGCGTTATATACAAGTACAGCGTTCTCCGAGCGCAGACACTGCAAATGAAAAGTTCTACTACATTTTATATAAAAAAAAAGGACTGTACCTGCATTAGGACCAAAATGATACTAGACATGTTTTTCAAGGAGTCAAAGCAGATTCGCGAACCTAGAAGACGAGAAATAACAATACAACAGGTTGTGGATCTTACGAAGTCCTGACATGAGCTCCCTGAATCATCAACGTGTTACTTCCCGCACAATACCAATAACAGATACTTACAGTCCTTGAGCAACTCTGCTACAGCACAAACAACCCTGTAGTCGGTGCATTGAGACTTTCCAACCTGAAATCAAATATATGAGAACCGACTCTGTACCACAGAATTTTCGTACATGCACATTGCTCGCAAACTCTTTCAAAGTAATGTGTAAAACAGCTGGGTCCCGCTTGCCATTGAACTCCAACATAAAACGATTAATATATAATGCTTCATACTCAAACTGCCACGACAAGATTATCACACAGAGAAATGAGGAGAAAAACACTACCTGGCGAGGGAACATGAGCCGAAAAAATGGTACAGGACGAACGTCAATAAACGAGGATTTAGAAGTGGCAGCTACATCAGCAATACTGGCAATAAAATTCTCTCTCTCCTCAAAGAAATATTGAGCTGATCGTGACGACTTAAACTCCACAACGATCTCGTTTGCGTTCTTGTCGTTTACAATAAGCCCGATGATATCCTTCAAGCTGCAGGCGACAAAAACCAGGTTCAAATTTTGCATATGGAATCTCGAAATTACATACCAGTGGAACGCGACAACTTCATCTCCTGCCATTTCAACAAAGTGTTCTCTAGAAATATACAAGCTTCGCTTTCGTTCCTGGGCATTGGATTCAGATTGCTTCATGGCATGGAACTCGTACAGAAAAGGTAAGGCCTTCTGCTTGGAAAAGAAAAAGCATGAAGGGAATCAAACTCTGTGAAAGAGTCAACTTACAACTTGTTTGATATACGCTGCTATATTGTCAACCATTTTACTCGTAGTTATCTTTTCAGTATCCAACTCCCGATTGAGGTAGAACTACAAATACTAATTTTAGAACAAAACATAGAAGAGTGTGAGTGCACTACCTTCATATTTCGACTTAAAGCAAGAAGAAACGGTGAAGCATCTGTTATTGACAGACGTAGCATCCGAGAGTGAAGGTGTAGAAGCACGATATGATCGTCGTCGGCCATTGTCTGAACTTTCACAATATCATTGAAGTTGATTTTCTTCGCGGGGTTTACCTGGTTTACTCAATATGTTAGCAGCCAACGCTTGAAATATACGACCAAACCTTACCCTCCGGCGTTCATGCCGAGAACCATTGCTTTGCATTTTCACGATCGAAGCACTGCGCACACGAAGCACTCTCTCGACCAAGCCTCCACTTTCGTGACTATGTTTTTTTAAAGAGAAATCCGTGCCTGTAAAGGAATCAAAGTTCGAACGATCTTAGGAAACAATGAGAGCAAAAGAGAAAAGAATAGGAGAGTTTGTACCGATTCCATTCAAGTCGTCCATCCGATTTAAAAGTGTTGTCATGAGCTCGGATCTAGAGTCGCAGTAAATGTGGAGCGTTTCATACCCCCTCCCACTTCCATCCGGCACATTCAATGTCAGCTCCTTGTCATCCTTGGTAGATGGAAGAACGTTTGAGATGCTCTCAAACATAAATTCCACGGACGAAGAAGCGGCAGTAGCGCTATTGTGCGTCGTCGTCAAGCTGGAGATCGACAGGCAGCTCTCAAAAACCCGCAAGACCTTCTCCGCCCTGCTGACCGCGAGACCAAATGCCCCGCCAGAGATCCTGACGCAAAACAGCTGATAATCCATCCCTTCCTTGCCAATCGCATCGAAATCCCGCTACTTGCCGCTAGATGAATCCCGCGATCGCTCGCATCGGGCTGCCGCGATCGACTTCTTGCGAAATATTTCCGTTTGCTTAGCTCCAAGAACCTGGCACAGGATCTCCTACTGTGGAATCTCGGCCTACATTGCGATTGAATCGAAACTGACAAGCACAGCACCTGGAGGAATCCGCCGAGCCACGAGACGGCGCTTCCTCCACGCCCTAGCGCCAAAGGAGAGCATTCTCCTCCTCCTCGGTTCTTCCATCAATCGTTAAACCCTCCAACACAGAAATTTTACACCCGGGAATCGATCCCTTGACCGATTTGCTTGAAACTAAAGGTGTGTGTGGCTTTAAACTTTTCCAGGTGGAAACGACGAGAGGGACTACTGCCAAGAGTACGCCAAAATCTGTGTTTTGGAAGATCACTCCATGTGAATTTTGCCTGGCGTACAACAAGAAAATTATTTTCTTAAAAAGCATTTTTATTTAATGAGTGTTTGCAATACAGAGCAGCAGTCAGATAGTGACCCATCCATTGAACAAAAAATAAAAATTCTTTATTTCACGTGGTCGCGGTCGCGTTGATCTTGCTTCCATTTAGTCACAAAGGTAACATCTCTGTTGTTTATATTATCAAAATAAAATCAAGCCGGAAAGCATAAGAAAGCAGTAAAAAGATGAATAATAAGGAATAATTTGTGTCCATCAAGAATCTCCAAAACTGTTGCCAAGAATCCTCAAATAAAATTTAAATAAAATGGCTCATTAGTGATTGTAAATTGGAACCCTAACATACACATTTTTGGCGGCAGCTAGGAATCTGGTGCCGCTCGCTGTGATGGATCACCAGTTCTCGCTGATCCAAACAGATCTGAACTCCAACGATAGAATGCGGCCGGCGCAGGCTCTCCTCCAGGCATCGACGGACATCTCCTCGAGGAAATTATCGCCAGCCCCGCGAGCGCAAGAAACTGGCATTCGATCTGGTGTGCACCACGCGCCTCACAGCCGATCAGTGGGAGTACGGTGTGTAGTGGCATCAAGACTTCGATTTCCCGGATCCGGACGTGACAGCCGCCGCGGTCTCCTCCCTCGCCGCGATCCCGACCTGGCGGCTCATCCTGGACTCCAGCAAGGAGATCTCCAACTGCATTTGCAGTGACAGTGAGAATTTACCACGCCAGCATCGAAACTCTGTGGACCTTTTCGCGAAAGATAGCGCTTGCAAGGGCCAGAAGCTACCTCAAGGCACGGACATCTCGCAAGATCAAGAAAGAGCTTACGAGCAGCAGCGGCTCCCTCGTGCCTGCTCTCCTCAATTTCACAAATCGCCAGTGTTCTTTTTGTATGGGCAATGCGACAAGGAATCGGGAGTTGTATGCCTGGCATGGGCATCTTCACGAGGCTAGGAGCGTGTTTGATGTTATGCTGGAGCATGATATTGCGTTCTGGAATTGTCAAATTACAAAAAAGTGACTAGAAAAGGTCTTCAAAATATTCATGTTCTCATACCTTAGTCAAGATACAATCAGTCACAAGTTACAGCAAAGATTCTCAAGATTCTATAAATGCCCACTACAAAGGAGTTAGAGGTGTTGGTTGATCTTGCCGTATTTTCACTTCATCAGCAAGTAAAGCTTTATAAGAGGCTTGAGGAGGATTTTCAGCTTTTAGAGCAAGTTCAAACTCATGGATTTTATGCACTTGGCTTGTGGGATTTGGTGTAGTAGACAAGTCTTCTCTTACATTGATTTTATTACCAACACTAGATATTCATGGTGACTTTCAGAAGACTCTTTCACACACTTTACATCCACTGGCTAAGATATTAAACATGTTTCATATGAGGTTTAAGCTGCTGAAAGCAAACATGTTACAAAGTGGTGATTTTGAGGAGTAACTATTTTCTTGCTGTGTTATGGATCTCATAGCTTTTCTGTTGTGATCAATGTGATTGATCCGGTCAATGATGCGAGGGGTGAATATCCACAGTGAGATCAGAACATATCTGTGGCAATGAGTTTGATTGACATGTATGGGAGATTGAAGTGCATGGATCACACTAGACAAGTACTTCAGGCCAATCCATGTCATGGAACAATTGATTATTTGCTACGCTGATAATGGGGATGGAGAGCTTGCTTTAGAGCTCTTCGATTGGATGAGAAAAAAAGAAAGGTGCACTTTTAATGCTTGATCTTTCTCTACTGTTGTGAAGGCTTGTGTTGCTATAGCCAGGAAAATTCAATAGCAAGAAGAAGAAAAAGAGGAAAACCATCAATGAGGAGCTTGTAAAGAGGGACATGGAATTCATGAGTTAGCTTCCAAGGGCTTCAACACCCATTTACCAAGACAGCCTAAAAGTAATACTAACTATATTGGCATATTCTATAGCTTTACCACACAACCTGTCTTGATGCACCTTGATCTTTTCTGTCTTAAGCAGGTAGACTGCTAAGGGCTGCGTAATGGTGGGATTTGCGAGAAGGGAAACATGGTCTTTATTGTGCTAAGTATTCTTGCAAAATTGGTCTTGCAATGAGACAAAGGCCTAGCAATCATATAAAACATAAAACATCTTCCACTAGATCCTGAGCACAGAGCAGGCAGTGGTGGAGGTGTCCTGGGAGTAGCCATCGGCTAGTTTCCACTCCCAATGTATGATTCTCATATCAATACACCACAAGTTTGTCCATGAACCCATGCATGGTGCAAAAATGGAAACAAATCAAATACAAATTGCTGTCTGATAGAATAAAAGAAATAGGTTTTCATGTTTCAATTGGTTTGTTTAAGCAAACTTGTAGGGGACTGGATATATTTAAAATATGCTTGAATATTCTAGGATATTCTACCATTTAATGGTTATTATTCATTTAGATTCCTGTTTAGTACCAGTGAAATTCACAGGTAAATTTCACCGGTTTAGTCCTTTCTAGTATATTCTTTTTTATTCTATCATCTAATGGTTGATTATCAATATTGTGTTTATATATTACAAGCGTGTTTATAATTATAAATTTTATTTGATCAATTAATAATAAAATCACCATTAAACAAACCAAGCATTGCTACATGCAACATATAGCAATTTGGTGAATGCACATAGGAGACCAAGAATCGCTGCCCTGGAAGTTAGCAAATTTGTTCCTCGTGAGAGCTGGGAAGCCTCACTTTCTTGCAAGCAACCATGAAGTCCTTCTTTGGGATGCTGAACAAGGATTTACAGACCCAATGCCAGGTGCACTTGAACAAGGCAAGACTTATGTTTCCATGGTATGTGATTGCAATGTTACTGACTCAAATAATGATTGACTTACAGCCAAATGATGCATATTTGGTAATTGCCTCAGTGTCCATCTGTGATACTTGTACCTGTGCTACAGTCCAGAACCAATGAAGTGGTAAGTTTTTCCAGTTTAAAGCATCATGATCAACAATGGTTTCAATTTTAGGGACTAGTGGAAACCATGGTTGGACGTGTTTATGACCAGCACAAGATGATAGCTGTTCACGCTAGAGGAAGGAGCACACCTTCCAGCAGCTAAAGCAGGGAGGCACCCATCCCAACCGTTGAAAGCAATAAATGACCATGGGTAAGTATCTTATAATTCTCACTTTTAGTAACTGTATATAATATTACAGCTCTTGGTACAAAGACAGATCTTCACCTAGAATGTGCATGTTAAGGTTTCATTACAAAATTAGGCAATCACCAGGATTAGACCATAGAACACGACTTCAGGCCAAAGCAGTGGTTAGTATCCCAAAGCTAAGGGTTCCACTTTGTATTTGCAGATGTACAACTATTTTCTCAGAGCTTGTAAAAGTTCTTCAAGCAAAAGAAGAGTTCAGAAAGAGTTTGCTGCATTTAGCTAAACCGCATTAGTTACAGTAATCGGTGCCATTTTTATTTGAAATTTCTTGGCATTGTTTAGGCTAGGAATTAGGGCTCTTGGCGGAATGCGGGAGCTCCGATCGATCAGGTGAGTCGTGGCTAGGGATTTCGCGCGGCGGCGGCTGGGAATCTCGCGCCGCTCGCCGTGATGGATCACCAGTTCTCGCTGATCCGAACAGATCTGAGCTCCAACGATGGAATGCGGCAGGCGCAGGCCCTCCTCCAGGCATTGCAGCTCGCGGCTTCGGGCACGGACATCTCCTCGCTCTCCAGGGCCGCCTGCGAGGAGATTATCGCCAGCCCCGCCAGCGCCGTGTGCAAGAAACTGGCCTTCGATCTGGTGCGCACCACGCGCCTCACGGCTGATCAGTGGGAGACGGTGTGTAGCGGCATCAAGAGCGACTTTGATTTCCCGGATCCGGACGTGACAGCCGCCGCGGTCTCCTTCCTCGCCGCGATCCCGACCTGGCGGCTCGGGAAGTTCATCACGGACTCGAGCAAGGAGATCTCCAACTGCATTGGCAGTGACAGTGAGAATTTGAGGCACGCCAGCATTGAAACTCTGGGATGCTTGCTGGCCAGGGATGATATCGTCACGCTCTGCGAGTCGAGTGGACCGGTGCTGGATCGAGTGTCGACTTGGTGGAGCCAGATTGGTCTCAAGATGCTGGATCCATCGGACGTGGTGTGCCGCTATGCTTTCGAAGGGATTGGGAGGCTCTTCTCGGAGTTTTCGAGCAAGAGGATGAGCACTCTGGCTGGTGATACCATCGTCGCGACCGAGGCCTCGGTGGCGATTCGTGCGCACTGGGTGGCGTCGATGTGTACGTTCGTGTGGGAGAAGCGAGACTTGCTCATGGCTCGCTCGCGGGTTCTTCCGTTTGAGAGCTTCCGCGCCACCATCTTTCCGCTCGTGTATGCGATCAAGGCGGTGGCCACCGGGATGGTGGAAGAGATGCAGGCGCTGTTTGGAAACGATGGGAGGTTCTCCAGCTACAGGGATGACAACAAGCAGTTTGTGAATGCCGAGAGGATCCTGGGAGTTTCGGACGTGGTGTCTCACTTGGTGCCGTTCCTGTCGTCCTTGGATCCGTCGCTCGTCTACGACGTTGGCATCAATCTCCTCTCGCTGGCGGATGTTCCCGGTGGGAAGCCGGAGTGGGCTTCGGCTTCCATCATGTCGCTGCTCACGCTCTGGGACCGTCAGGATTTCAATGCCGGTAGGGAGAGCATCGTGAGAGCAGTGGTGGAGAACCTCCAGCTTTTGGATCTTCACATGCAAGTCTCCTTGTTCAAGCGGCTGCTGGTGATGGTCAGGAATCTGCGAGCCGAGGCCGATCGAATGCACGCCTTGGCTTGCATCTGCCGGACAGCTCTCTCTGTGGACCTTTTCGCGAAAGAGAGCGCCCGGAGGGGCCAGAAGCTGCCTCAAGGCACGGACATCGCGTCGCTGTTTGAAGATCCCAAGATCAAGGAAGAGCTTACGAGCAGCAGCGGCTCCAGCTTGTTCAGAGAGGAGCTGGTCGCGTGCCTGGTGGAGAGCTGCTTCCAGCTCTCACTGCCGTTTCTAAAGGACAAGACAGCACGCTCGGAAAGCCGGGTGCTTGGAGCTCTAGCTTACGGCACCGCTCACGAGATGCACAGTTGGACTCAGTCGGCGCTGGAAGTTGTCGAAGTCTGCCGTCCTTGCGTGAGATGGGACTGTGACGGCCGGACGTATGCCATGGATTGCTACTTGAAGTTGCTGGTCAGGCTGTGCCATGTCTATGATACCAGAGGTGGAGTGAAGAAGGTCAAGGATGGAGCGTCTCCAGAGCAAGTGCTAAACGAAACGAGGCTCCAGACTTTGCAACGACAACTAGCAAAAGATCTACCAGAGGTAAAGCTCAAAGTTTCCTTCCTCCTTCTCTCTTGACATGTTTCCTGTTCAGGTGGCGACTCCAAGGATACGAGCACGTCTGATATGGGCGTTAGCGGAGCATTTTGACTTGGATGGGCTGGATCCGCTTTTGGCTGATGATCCTGAAGATCCTCTCAACATACTTATTTCCAGCATGCACAAGGTTCTTTTCAACGTCGATAGCCCGCTCAGTGCAGCTGCAAATCGCCCTCAGGACGTCCAAGCTATGCTCTTATGCGCTCAACATCTGGGTTCTCGCTATCCAAGAGCGTCGCAGGGTCTTGCGAAAGAGCTAGAAGACTTCAGGAGCAGCACTCTTGCTGATTCAGTGAACAAGCATCAATGCCGCCTTGTCTTACAGATCCTCAAGTACATCTCCAAGCACCCGGAATCAAGGTAATGGTTTCGTTTGAAGTCTGGACACTTGACGTATCGTCTGGAGCTTTCGCAGGTGGGTAGGAACTGCTGCTGCGACTGGCGACTACCCCTTTAGCCATCACAAGCTGTCGGTGCAATACTTTGAAGCGTCAGCTGCACAAGACAGGAAGCTGGAATACTTAGTTCACAAGGCTGTCCAGGAGCTTTGGAAACCTGCCGTGAGTGAACTGACGCTGCTAGCCAGCAAGGAAACAAGCCCGTCGGTTTTGAGGCCGCCTCCAGCCGCGCAAACACTCTCTGGCAGCAGCGATCCGTGTTATGTCGAAGCCTACCACTTGAGCGATCCGCACGAGAAACGCTTAACATTACACTTGAAGGTATGGGTAAAACTCTCTTCTCTCTACGTGTTCTCATATTGGTTCTCGTACAGGTGATTAATATGACCGAGCTGGAGCTTAACCGGGTTGACGTTCGCGTCGGACTCGTAGGAGCCTTGAGATTCATGGATGGTAGCTTGCAGGCTGTTCGACAACTGCTAAACTTGTCCTCCCAGGTATGTGCATGATCATTCGAGCTTTATTTTGCTAAAAGTCTCCTCTACAATGCAGGATCCCATTCAATCCAGCGTCACAGTCTCCGTCTCAAGATTTGAGCGGTGCTCCCTGTGCGTGCAGCTGCTGTATTATCCGTATGCTGGAAGTGCGGGATCGGGCCACGATGAAATTGACTTTGGAGAAGATGACACTTCCTCGGGGCCCCGACTTCGAAAGACTCTCAAACCGGACTATGGAGAGCCGATTATTCTGAGATGCAAACCTTACAAGATACCTCTGGTGGAGCTTTTACTTCCGCACAAGTGCTCACCTGTGGAGTTCTTCCGGCTATGGCCCAGCCTTCCTGCAATTTTCGAGTTCACTGGAGCGTACAAATACGAAGGTGGTGTTCCGAAAACAGTGAACGGCGGAGCCGCTTGGAAGTCACCATTTCTGGCGGGATTAAAGGCCTTGTCGTCAAAGCCTTTCCATCGAGTTGCTTCCCACATACTTCGTACAATGGCTGGATTTCAGGTGCTTTCTTTCTTCTTTTCTCTCTAGTCTTCGGTTCTGTACTAAAACTTTGTTTGATCTCTCGCCAGCTTTGTTATGCCGCTCAAACGTGGTACGGGGATTTCGTAGGAATGCTGGTCTTTGGCGCGAGCGAAGTGAGCGCAAATGTTGATCTTGGCGACGACTCGCACACTATGGTCTGCAAGTTCATCCTGAGAGCTTCTACAGCCTCGGTACTGGATGATATTGCGGAGGATCTACAGCAGTGGCTGGACGACATAACAGATGGGGAGCTGAAAGTGGTCTCTGAGGAAACTCTCCAAGAATCGGAAGCTCAAAAGCTGAAGAGGTCGATTGAGTTGTCAATGCTTCCCAAAGTGACGCTGGCGCCGCCGCCTGTGAAGAGCGACGATGACAGTCTGCTTCCAGGGATACAGCCCGCAGAGCCGTCCACTCTCACCACCTTTTCTCCCGAGGAAATCGAGCACAAGGCTCTGCAGTCCGCCGTCCTACAAGAATGGAACCTGTTTCATTTGGAGCAGACTGTGGGTGCTTAATCCAAGAGCTACAATTTTTTTTTTAATCTTAAGACATTGAAACATCAAAAAACATGCCTCATGTGATTCCTCCTCTTGCAAAGTGCTCCAAATTGCTGTTAAATGTGGACTCAATAACAAATATTAAGCAAACAAAATACCAAATAACACTTCTCAGAAGCTTTGACAAGAAATCTAATCGAAAAGACTTAAGCCCATGTCATCATCAGATTCTTCTTCAGGCTCTGCTTTCGTTTCTTCTTCAACCTTGGCAGCCGGAGCTTCACTCGCAGCCGGAGCTTCACTGGCAGCCACAGCAAACTTACTGGGATCCTGAGACAAAGAAAAGCGTTACATACACTGACAAAGCAACGAAGGAAAGCAGGATCAAACCTTGAGATACTCCTTCACGGTCTCGGCCTGAGGGTACGAGTAATCGGTCGCAAGAGCCACAGCAAGAACGTTCTTGTAAGAGTTGAGGAAGTAGTGCGACGCTGCTGCTAGAGTCGGATAGCCGATAGCCAGCGACAGCGCCGCCACTGCCGAGACACCAGCGGCAAAGCGACCGACGAGGTCGTCCTCGGTGAGATCCAGAACAGCGGGATCAAAGACGGAGCCATCGTCGTAGACCATCTGGACGACGAGCCCGTAAGAGAATGGCCTTATGCCCAGCTTTGCGAGAAGAGCTGCCTCCGAGGAGCCAACTTTCTCTCCCTTTTTGATGAGTTCCACGGACGAGACGATCTCGACAGTTCCCTTGTTGATCTTGGTGGGAATGTTGAGAACCTGGAAGTTTGCAAGTATGAACCACAGAAACAAAAAAAAAAAAAAAAAGAGGGTCGAACCTGGAAGAAAGATGTCTGCGAGGGATCAAGCCCAGTGCTTCCAGGAGGAATGGTTACGTCGATCGGGGCAACAAGTCCGACACGAGCAGGCGCTCCAACCTGGAACAAAGTTTTGATTTTCATACCGCAAGTACAAAGATCATACCTTGTACTTCGCGACTTCCTCGCGAACTTCTTTGAGATCACCTTTGGTGAAGATAAGTCCCACATTTCCCTGCCAAGAGCAACCATCGCAAGCTTTCTCTCAAGAAAAAAAATTCTCCTTACCACCAAAAGAGGCATGAGACTGAGAACAGTCGTGTTGCCGCTCTTCTCGGCGTAAGTCCTGATCGTCCGCTTCATGAGAGTGTTCTTCCCCATGAGAACCACCGATTCCGGCCTCAATCCCCTGCGGATTTGCTGCAGCTGATTCGACCCAACATTGTCGGCCGCGCAAATCAGCGCCTTGCTGTAGGTCTCCAGCAGATCGACCATTTTCCTGTCATAGACCTCTTTCTTCTCCTGCTTCGTCCCCTTGAAACCCATCTCCTGTTAATCTCACTCACGGGGCCAAGCCAGCGAATCGATCGATGGCAAGGTGGAGCGCGCACGCTTCTCTTTAACCCTGAAAAAATGCTACTACTGGCTGCTAGGGTTCTTGGGCTTTCTTTTAAATGTGGGCGCCGAGTTTTAGGGTTTAATCTGGTCCCCGGTTCGAATCTGGCCAACTCTGAAAATTAGGGTTCTTGGGTAAAGTTTTATGTGGGTTTAGGGTTTGTGGTGTGGTTCATGGCTGCTGGATACGCGGGGAAGCTAGCGTGTTTCCTCATCAAGGATCAATTTGGGGACCTTGTCCATGTAAGTTTCATCCTATGCTAACGCAGCGCAAATAGAATCGATGAATAGAGAAATGGTGGGTGTTTTTGCAGAGCGTGTGCGAGTGCTTGATCTCTAGAGGGCAGCTTTCGTTGCCTGAGATTGGCAGCTTCACTCTCCTCGCTCGCCCGCAGCTCGCCAGCTGCCTGCTCGTCTTGATCCAGCACAATTGCGTCCAGGCATTCAAGGTCCTCGACGAAGGTTTGCAGAGATCGAACAGTTTTCCCTCTTAAAGTTTTTTTTTTCTTTGTAGACAACTTGGAAGCTCGATTGCGCTACACTGCTATTGTGGATCACATTGTTCTTCGAGCGTGCTTTCCATTGTTCGTAGAGCTTATACGTGAAAAGACTGGAAATGATCAGGTTGGCTTTCTTTTTTTCTTTCTCTTTTCTTGCTAAAATGCTGGTTTTGTCTTCTTCTTTTTTAAAAAAAAAAAGTCCGAGGAGCTGGCTCTGGGCTTGCTACAGCACGGTCGATTAACTCTGGAGCAACTAATTAAGCGTGATGCCGAATGTAGCAACTCAGGTAAATTCTAGCGGAAAAAAGGAAACAATCTTCCTCAAGACAAAGTCATGCTTTTGATTTGCAGAGGATGCTCAGTCCCAATTCATGGAAGCGTTCACAAATCTTTTACAACATAAACTTGTGGAGCGCTGCCCGAGACCGGAAGCTGTGCTTGGCTTTTCTGATAACGCCGGCGATGGACGTCCTGCGAAGAAGGCTCGCGGCTCCAGCGTGAGTTCACACCTTTTTGCGTGCCTCCAACTCTGTTCCTTTGTTTCTCCTCTCAGAAGAAACGTTCTCTTCCTCTTAATTTTGAAACACAAGTGCGACGTGTGCTTGCCGCGGCTGCTCCCATGGAGGCCGAGCGTTTTAGAGGTCCCTCGAGGTGGATCATGGACGAAGATGCTGCAGCTTCCACCCCTTCTACAGGCGAAAAGGTTTTTCTTTTTTCTTCAGACCTGGTTCTATCTTAATACGTCGCATTATACGTAGCGAAAACATGGAGCATTGTGGGATTCAAGTTCCATGGACGAGAAAGAAGTTCTATGGCGGGTGAACTTCGAGGAGTGCGTCAAGCTGTTAAGACATAAGGTAGATAAATTCTGTTTGGTAAAATTTTCTTCATTCTTCTTGACACACTTCTGTTTGATAGTTCAGGCTTGCGCGTGTCATGTAAATTTCAGTTTTGGTTCCGACGCAAAGACTGTGGTTGAAGCAATGCTCGAAGCAACCAGAAAAACTGAAACGACAGTGAAGGCTGCCTTCTCAGGTAAGATCATTTTCCATATCGTCTAGAAGAATTACGCGGCATTTACCCTGAAGCTTGTAGACGCTTTAACCCTCAACGACATACTTATACTGAGGTCGGACTGGACAGCCCCAGTGGTTCGTAACGCTCTTAAAAGAATGGTGGAGGAAGGATTCATAAACTCGGTTGGAGACGCCGGTTCTCACTACACAGTTGGTACGTTCTTTTGCTATCCATGGCATTCGTCGTTAAGTTTTGGATCCAAGCAGCAATGCAGAAGATTGTGGAACTGGCCAGGAAAACCGAGGTATTGCCTCATACGATATGATTAGAACGCCTCGTTTTACATTGCTCACAGGTGGAGTCTATAGTATCACAGAGGTTTGGAAAGCCATCGTCTAGGATTCTAAGGCTTCTCAGCAAGAAGGGTGGCTCAGAACAGAAAGCGGTCAGCTTTTTTCATGTTTTTCTTTCCTCTTCGTCCAGTTTATGTGAAGACTTTTAACCAGATTTCCGAGAAATGCTTGATACCTGATAAGGAAGCCTGGCAGCTCCTTTACCAGCTGATGAAGGAGCGTTACATTGAGCTACAGGTAAGGTTTGTTCTCTTCCCCCCCATTACTATATTTCTATACGCAGGAAGTTCCAAAGTCTGCTGGGGATCGTGCCCCCGCAAGAACTTTTTATTTGTGGCACGTAGATTTCAGCAAGCTCTCTTCTGTGGTGCTGGAGGATATGTACCATGCAGCTTACAATCTCCACAGGCAGATCGAGCACCGATTAGAGCACGAAAAAGAGGTTGGTGGCTTTTACTCTCCCTGAGTTTGTACTAAGAAGGTTGAAACTGTAGCTGCTTATTATACCGACGACAGGCTCATTGTCGAATGAGCAGCAGCAGAAGCTTGATCGTCTCCAGTCGATTGTGAAGATTCTGGAAGTGTCTATCTTCAAGCTGATGAATACAATCATGCTATATGATTTTTATTGAAAATATGATTTTGACCTAACAGCAGCTCCGTGTCATATTGATACCAAATTATAGAAACCTGTGGAAAGATAACCACCACAAGTCCAAAGCTAACAGACGTGCCTCAAGCAGCCACGCTACCTTCCTCTCAAGCTCAAGCTCCTCTCCAGCGATCTGGACCAACTGCATTGGCAATGGAGGAGTCCCTTCTCTCAGCCTCAGCATGACAATCTTTTTTCCTGCAACTGGATTCACAAAATTCACTATCGAAAAACAAAGAGCTCTTAGGAAACAGTCATATCCATTCAAAAGTATAGTTAACCACTTGAGATATTAGTTTAACTCTTATTAGGTTCTATTACTTAAAATGTGACTCTACTTAATAAAAGGTGATTAAGTATATAGTGGGCAAGGATGGGCTTAAATGGATTATGAGAAAGTCCAAAAAATCTAAGAATGGAAATGACTGTCAAATGTATATGAATTAAGGGCATTTTTAGGATTATATAAGTACTATGTAAGGTTTATCAATCATTAGTCAAGAGTTACTTTGGTTTTAATGAACCAAATGAGAAATAGGAAAATGGTATAGACAATGGAATATGAAAAAGCATTTATCCACCTCAAAAGAAAGTTGAAAAAGGCTTCTATATTAGTGTTATCAATTTTTTTTAAAAACTTTAAGGTAAAAATGAATGTTTTGGATTTTACATTGGGTGTGGTCTTGAAACAAGATAATCACTCAATAACATTCTTTTCAAAGAAGTTGGATAAAGTTTAATAAAAGTGGTTTGCCTATGAAAGAACTATTTATAGCGATCAAAACGTTTATAGAGTGGTTTGGGAAACACTTTAATATATACATGGATAACATAGTAAGAAAACACTTCTTGTCACACTTGACCTTCATAGGAAATAGCAATAGGAGCTTAATGTTTTGGCCAAATTAAATTGTGACATCCTTTATAAACTCAGAAAGAATAATATTATAGTGGATGCTCTAAGTCAGAAAGTAAATATAAAGTTTAGTAGTATCTAGTGCAATAACAACTTTCTAAAATGATGTACAAATAACATATAAAGATAATGCACTAGGTATTGTTAAAGAATAAAGTGGCATGAGATACTCACCAATAATGCAAGTTGCCAAGGGAAGAAGAAATTAGTTATGTGGAACATAATAGATTTATTTAATATAAGTAGA